AGCTTTTGCCTGATTTGCCTTACGGCGCACCTGATGTTAAGTCATACCCATGAACAGTGCCAGAAGGCTCGCAAGTGCCGGCCTGAGTCTTGGTCTTGTTCTTAAGATCAAATGATCGAACTTATGCAATCTGAGGAACATAAATATATATATACATATATATATATATATATATTTGCACTTCACTTTTGTGGTTTGGAATTAAAGTTTTATCAATTACTATTATTTAATTATTTTTAACTATTAAAAAAATTGTTACGTCATGGCTATCAAACTATTTAAACGCCATCCCAGAAGTTATAGATCACTTCCGTGTAATGCCTTCAAGGGGAAGGTGATTCGATTCTTAAAGGCAAAGATGTCTTTATAGGGATAGTATTTAAACCAACAATTTTCAAAACATTTATAAATAACTGTTCTTATTATCGACATAATGATAAGTACTATGACATACTGATTGTGCGTATTTATAATTAGTCAATCTAAATATACCACTTTGCAAATAATCGACTTATTATTATTATTTTCGTGACAAAATAGCCCGTTGGTCGGTTTTAATAATGGATTAGTGTAAGGACGTAAACAAGATGGCCGACATTCGCCAATATGGCCGCTGAAAAGTGATTTGTGCTGTGATTGGACGATTTCTTTTGTGATTTTTTTTAGTTTGGACAAAGACGGTTTTAAGGTGAGAATAGTGTCTTTATTGTGTGGAAGTACAACATACATTGGTACCTCCAGTGCTCTAATATACGAGTGTTTTGAGATACGAGCGAGCGATATTTTGCTTTGAGATTCAATTCAGCGAAGGGCTTGTCGAATTGTCAATCTCCAACGTATTATGGATCGGCTTGATTCTCTCTCTCTGCGCAGAGACATTGCGTCTCTATGCGTATTCTACAAAGGAGAGTGTTCTGTGATCCGTACTGCCTCGTTTCAACACCGTACGAGCCGTATCAATTCAAATACCAGCGTCACCTTGATGGCTGGAAGTCTTCCACGGTCCGCTTCACAAGACACTTTAATTTGAGAACTAGAGAAGTGTGGAATCGAAAGAAAATATGGTGTAAATATAGTTTCAAGTCAGTTACGGTTCCGTTGGAAAAAAAAAATTATTTAGGCAATGAAAGGCCTACCCTAGTAAAATATATACTTTTGTTGGTGTGTCTAAAAAGAAAGAGTGGTCTTGGTGGGCGGACGCGCTCAAAGTTGAAGAAGATTTGAAAAAAGCCTAAAATAGAGATAGATGGAACTAATTGTAGGAGGCCTCCAACAATATCTATTAGAGATCCTTGGAAAGAAATAATTACTATTATTTCTGTATACAATTATAAGTGTATCTTTTGTAAAGACAGATGAATTTTTCAAGGAATAAATGCGGCCTAATTATTAGTATTATCGGTGTGTCTGCGCGTACGTATGTGTGGATGTTGGCGTGTATGTGAGAGGGTATTTGTGTATACTTAATCAATTATTTTGTATATAATTTTTGTGCAGTGTTGGTCTAGTGGCGTTAGTGTGCGACTCTTATCCCTGAGGACGACCTCACGTAGGTTCGATCCCCGGTTGTGCACCAATGAACTGTCTATATGTGGACTTAACACTCAGACGCTGAAGGAAAACATCGTGACGAAACCGGCTTGCCTTAGACCCAAGTCGACGGCTTGTGTCAGGCAGATCACCTACTTGCTTATTAGATTGACAAATGAAACAGATACAGAAATCTGAGGCCCAGACCTAAAAAGTGCCACTTATTTTTTAAATAAATACGGACGTGTTAATAAAATCTGTTTTTTTTTGATTCAACAGGCGTTTGTGTTTTGTATGAGCTAATAAGCAAATTCAAAATCAAAATCATTTATTCATATATATATTTAACACAATGTACACTTATGAACGTCAAAAAAGAAATATATATGAAATGCTTCTAATTTTACATTTACTGCCAGTTCTCAAATCTAGGGAAAACAATAATGTAACACAGAAGAATAAAGACGCAAGGATGAAGTGGCAATTTTTCTTCGTTCCTTGCATCTTTGTTACATGGACTAAAGTTCTTAAATTTAAATTGTTACAACAAGTTTTTTTTAATTGTTATAAGTTATACAGAGAAAGTGATGATTTTAATTTGACAAATGATTGACGTTCAATATAACCTGGAGAAGTTCAGATCCCAATCACTGTTTATAATTTTCTTAACCTACAAAGTAATAATAAAAACTGTTAAAAAGAAAATCAAAACAAATTCAAAAAGTTTGGTCCCCGTGGCAGTGTAACGCTGGCAGCATTTTCTCGCTGTATTGCGATACTTATTCGTTAAAGAAAGCACCAGCTCTGGGGTCACCGGTACTATCTATCAGGCGCCAACTTAAATCTTTAATAAGCGTCTGTGCACTTAGCCCCACGGCCCAAGAGACTCCAAAGATACAGTGTAAACTCTTTAACTCAAATATTGTCATATTTATACATCAACAAGTTTTTATGATCAGCTTACGAAACTAACCTTTTGAGGTGCTGAAATTTCTAAGAAAGACATTTGAGGTCATAAACAGCCGTCTCGCCTTTGTTATTGTTAATTTCATTAACACGTGTGCCATTATTCTTAGATTACATTGCCTGTAGGAAAATTCGGTCTCAGTTACTAAACGCACCACCGTCACCTATCGTGTATCAGTCGCAAACAAACTTTGAAACTGTCAAGATGGCCAGTAACAGAAAAGCGTTTTGTTTTATATGTGTTAAAAAACATAACATATATAGTGTTTACCTATTGATAGTAATAAAATTTGAAATTAATGATGGTTAAATTTGTTTTTTTTTTCTCTTTCCCTATAACGACGGCTCTCTATAACGAAAAAAAACTTGGTCTCTTGAAATTCGTTATAAAGAGTGTATACTGTAATTATAATTAAATTTTATTTCATTTCAATTTAAAAAAGTTAGTTCTAGAAGTACTAATGATGTGTCCGCAATTTTCAGGAGCCGTAGGATTTGGGGCTTCGCAACGGATACACATGGACGCCCACGCTCACTCGTATTTAATTGGAAACCGTTTCACGAACAAAACGCTGCCGGGCCTCGTGCCGCACATACAGTACCATTTGTGCAGGTGAATATCTTAATATATATAAATTACGTGTCACGTTGTTTGTCCGCTATGGACTCCTAAACTATGGTATGGTTCCGTAGTTTAGGAGTCCATAGCGGACAAACAACGTGACACGTAATTTATATATATTAAGATTGTTGTAAAATTATTAATATATTAATTATTTATCATCTAAATATATATAAGTTACGCGTCAGGTTGTTTGTCCGCTATGGACTCCCAAAACTATTTAACCGATTTCAATCAAATTTTCACACCGTGTGCGGTTTGATCTAACTTAAAAGATAGGATAGCTTACATCTCAATTTATACCCGCAATATTATTTTATTGCTAATTATTTGTTAATTATTTGATAGTCACAATTCTAACAGATGACGTTGTGTTGAAAGAACCAACGTTTCACATAAGCTACAATTTAATGGCATAACCACCAAAAAAGCATGGTTGTCCCCATGACTGATGTTCTCCCTTGAATAGTTTACTACTATGTAATATAACAAAAATCTTAGCCACAGCAACGCTTGGCCGAGTCTGCTAGTACAAATATATGTATCAATTAAAAGCTAATTATTACTATTCTTTTCGCGGAAATGAGGCAAGTAGGTGATCGGCCGATACCTGATTGGGTCTAATGCCGGTGTTACGATGTTCTCGCTACAACCGTTTAGGTCTGGGTCCTATGTATCTGTTTCATGAGGCAACTAGGTGATCGGCCTATACCTGATTGGGTCTAATGTCAGTTTTATGATGTTCTCGCTACAACCGTTTAGGTCTGGGTCCTATGTATCTGTTTCATGAGGCAACTAGGTGATCGGCCTATACCTGATTGGGTCTAATGTCAGTTTTATGATGTTCTCGCTACAACCGTTTAGGTCTGGGTCCTCGTCGATCACCTAGTTGCCTCATGAAACATATACATATGTTTCATGAGGCAACTAGGTGATCGGCCGATACCTGATTGGGTTTAATGTCACTTTTACGATGTTCTCGCTTCAATTCTTTAACAAAATGAATTAAATTGCTTTTGCAGTTGTAATTTTCAGTCTTTTGACTCATGTGTAATTTTAAAGCCCTTTTAAATGTATTAAATACAGTAAAGTTTTTGAAAGTAATCTCCCTAATTAGGCCAGAGGTTTTAGTCCATTTAAATACCCAAAACATTGAGGGCCCATTTCCATAGTTTACAACGCTCACTGTACAGTATTTGGAAGCACCGTTAAACGATTACCACCATAACCACTCTGGTGTTAATATTAAACGTATTTTTCCAGATCGAGTACAAACATGCTCCTGAAAATTGAGAACCAATTACTTCAAAGACACCGACAGCGCGAAACAACTGGGATTAAGAAACTATATAATTCGTTCTTCGTTCTATTTTAACTTTTGAATTAAACTCACTTCTATATACCAGTGCTAACTGTACAGTCCGGTATAAGTTCGATTAATATTGTGTTTTAAATTTAACTGACTTTATTGCGTAGACAAACTTGTGTGTGTCAAACACATTCATATCGTGTAAAATATCCTTTCATGTGGCTTTAAGTGTGTACACAAACAGTTCAATTCTAGTGCGTTAATTCCATATCTATAAAACAGGTCAGTTCTAGTGTGTTAAGTTCTAAATCTGTAAATCAGGTCATTTCTAGTGTGTTAAATTACAAAACTCTAAATCAGGTCAGTTCTAGCGTGTTAAATTTCAAATCTCTAAATCAGGTCAGTTCTAGTGTGCTAAATTCCAAATCTGTAAATCAGGTCAGTTCTAGTGTGTTAAATTCCAAATCTGTAAATCAGGTCAGTTCTAGTGTGTTAAATTTCAAATCAGTAAATTGTAGTGCGTTTGAAATCAGGTCAACGGACTGCGTCTGTTCAGCGGGCTTTGGCCCTGTGATGGAATTCGAGGGGAATATTATGCATGGGAGAGAATATTGGGAGTCGAGCGTGAGATTGTCAGTTGGTGAGGACTTCGGGATGTTCCTGGAAGAAGGGAGGAAGCGAAAGTGGGAGGGGAAGGAGGAAAAGGAGCAAAGGAAGGTGCCGCCAAAGAAAGTTATGGGTGAGTTATTCATATCTTTGTTATTATCAAGTTTATTTTTTAACGTTTATTTATTTATCAGTAATCTTACAGCTACACGTATAAAAGAAAATACTAATACGAAACATATTAGTATATTAATCGATTTAAAAAAATTGGAATTAAACAACGTCAACAACGACCATCCAACGTTGAATTGATATCGTTTCTGTCTTTGAAGCCGGTTAATTAATAAGCCTATTAGTTTTATAGTAGTAACTGTTTATTTTTATGTAATAGAAGGCTCATCTGATGTTAGATGATACCGCCCATGGACACTCACAGACAGAAGGCTCGCAAGTGCGTTGCCGGAGTTTTAAGAATTGGTACGCTCTTTTCTTGAAGGATTCTATGTCGAATTGGTTCGGAACAACCTGACCCCTAGGGGCCCTTCAAGAATTACGTAAGCACTATAGGTTTATTTGATTTTCTTTGATTTCGGCAATAGTAATTATTAAATTTTTACACATAATATCCACACATTGTCTAATGTCTATGCTTGAATGACACTCAATGCAAGAGGGCTCGCGAGTGCGTTCTAGGCCTTTTTTAAGAATTGGTAAGCTATTTTCGTAAAAAATTCCGTGACTTAATACGTGAACGCCCCTTGGGATTATTTTGTACTATTTCCTCGTAGGAATGCATTGCTCGCTTCATAACTTTGATGCATATTACTTCATTTAAACTACGATATCAGGGATGATGAGGAAAGCTACCAAAAAGTTTGACTAAAAAGTATTAACAATATGTTTTTTATGTGCTATCTATATTTTTTTTACCTAAAGCAATAATAAGTTATGTAATAACTAGGAGGAGTTTAATACGCTCCACCTATAAAGAGGTATTAGATAAAAAGTGCGGTAGATTTATCAGTAGGGTCATAATATTTAAGATTTCGCCCATCATGTATTTTTTCTTTGTATTCTTAGGCAAGTAGGTGATCACTGATCAGCCTTTGCCTGACTAGTCTAATGCCGGTGTTACGATGTTCTCGCTACAACCTTTGAGGGGCCATCCATAAAGTACGTCACACGAATTTTAGGACCTTTGAACCCCTCTCCCGTCCTTGTCACAGGTTGTCACATTTTTATAAACCCCCCCCCTCCTGATGTGACGTCACACATTTTTTGCGTGACGTTTTATACATAACGTTTTATAAATCGACGTCGGCTGCACGCACGAAAAAACAGGACTTATTGTCACGTTCCGCTTGTACAAGCGAGAGCGCGGTACACACGATAGAGAGGCACGATCGGCCTAAGCGTTTGGCTTGTATTAATCTCTCTATTAGGCCGAGTAAACGAGAGACAGCGGCAGCGCACAATCTATTCGTGAACTGTTTATATAATGAAGTTTGCTTATGACGTTATCATGTAGAATTATCGTCCGTAAACCGACTTCAGGCAACCAATTTTTTTTTAACTTTACGATTTTCAATAGCGATATTTGTAATGAAATAATTTGCCGGTCTTATTATTCTATAGATAAGCTAATTTTGTGGTCGTTTAAATTATTTTATATTTGAAATCACTTAAAATTACTTGGCTCGTCTACTGTAATACCAGTATGTCAGAATTCACTGTACGGTGACCTTTAACAGGCAAATCAGTGTGCGGTGACCCTAAATTTATGTCAAGTCATCTTAGATCAATAAATACGTAGATACGACACAGATGAGATGTTTTAGAAATAACAAATTTTTGACATTTGCACCCGAAAACAATGTTCGTGATGTAGAAAAATGTATACTTTGGTAGTCTGTTTCTTATGGTGCATTAACGAGAGATATATGAGTTCTAAGGAATCGTAGAGCCTGATAATGCCTACATGTTAGCGACATGTCTTTTATATAAAAACAAGTCAAACTCAAAAAATACAGCACGGAATTTATTGCGATTCTACCGATTTCTAGAATGATTCCTGAGGAATTTAGTACAATAGTATTAAAAATCCTCCTTATTATCACACATTGCAAGCTACTGTGTTGTTCTCATGTTATTTTCACACATATACAGGAATCGCACCTATAACGCGTTTTCGTATAACGCGATTACTGTCATATAACACGGATTCTCAAGTTATATTTCTGTAGTCTGATTTATAATGATTTGTCAAGTGCATAATAATTTTTGCGTACCTTTGCACCTGTTTGAATTGTTGTTATAAAATTAAACTAAATAACTGTATTAAATTCGTGTTCATAGTTTTGAATTGTTAAAAAAACCGGTTTTACGAGAATACTCCTACAACGAGATTTCTTATTACGTGGTCCGGGTTTACCGCGTTCTGTATATGCATTCTATAACGTATTTTCATAAGTATCTAACATACACACATAAGTAATATGCCTGTATTTGAGAGGAAAAATAAAATCGTTTTTAAATGTTATTTAATTTCTCTCAGAGGCAATCTATGTGCATTTGTATGTTGATAAGTTATCTTTTGATTTAGTATTGAGCGAAGCGTCGCATTTGACGCGCGCGTAAGATGTTAAGTGTTTGTGAATTTGTGATTATTATTTTAGTATGTTGAGATATTGTTTATTTTTAATTTGATATTATTCTGGAATTATTGTGGATTTTTCGTGTGTCGGAAATTCGGTTACAATAATAAAATTAAATACTTAAAAACTAGTAATATAATTAATTACTAATTTTAAATTACAACAATAATTTTTATTAAATTTTGAATTATTAATGTCTTCTATAAATCTGTAGTACATTGCTCTATTGTCAATAGTTTCCGCAGCATATAGAAATCTTTATTGGTCTTCACACCTTGGGTCTTGGCTGTCCTACTTATAACTTTGTGACAATATTCTATAGTTTATGTCCATCAGGTCCTGGTATTTGTAGATATTGATGTCTTCTATAAAACTGTAGTACACTGCTCTATTGTCAATAGTTTCCGCAGCATATAGAAATCATTAATATTTACACCTTGAGTTACATCGTAATTTCGCTGCCATAACTTTTTGAAACTATAGCCCTCATCAGGGATAACGTAGGGTTCTAATGGTGAAAGAATTATTAAAATCAGTTAATTTGTTAATTTTCAATGAAAACCAAATGTTTCTTCTTTAGAATATTACTGCTTATTTTCATCTTTACGTGTTACGTTACGTTAGGACCCAGACCTTAAAGGATGTAGCGAGAACATTGTTACATCTGCAATAGACCCAATCAGTCTAAGGCTGATCACGTACTTGCCTCACGAAAATAGATATATTTAATTATAAATTGTCAAAGTTTATTAATTTTGTCACCGACCGATCATCAAAACTCTAAGGCACTTCTAGCAGATAAAGAAGCTTCAAGAATATAATTAGTGTTTAATATTGGTCACTATAAGATGTTAGGTTAGCTAATTACGTAATTAGATACAGAAGGTCCCTCAAGTGGAGACTGAACTGACTTCGCATTACATGGATCTCACTTTGTATGGTAGAAGAACTGCGTAGCGAGACTTGGTTTTTCTTTTCAATTTATGCTTTTGATGTCCCATGGGAATGGAGATGCGAATCATTTAACAATACAATAAAAATAAATAAATCAGTGACTACAGTTTTAAGTCTGGGTTTTAGATTCCTGTATCTGTTTCATGATCATTTGTCTTATAGTCAAATAGGTGATCATCCTTCTGTGCCTGACACGCCGTCATGTTGGGTCTAAAGCTTAGGTTTCCTAGAAAAGCGGTGCCGTTAACTAACGTCCGTCATTTTACGGTTGTTAATAATGGCCGTCTTTACTTTTTAACATAATGCAAAAAAAAATCATTTTCGCTCGTCCAAGTCCCGTTTCCACTTATTGTATTAATTAAATATGGGCACCGCTACACGCGTAAAACGTTGAACTAATGTATATCACCGATATGACGGCCGTCATGCAAATGACGCACCGCTATTTGACGTTACGGTGACACTCAACGTTCTCTAGAAAACCTACCCCGATGTTATTTATAGACAACGTATGGGTGACGTCACCCAACGTTACATTACGGCCGTTGGATAACGGCACCGCTTTTCTAGGAAACCGTAGCTTAAGGCAAGCCGGTTTCCCCACGATGTTTTTCGTATAAGTGCGCATTAGAAGTCCATTGGTGCACAACTGAGGTTTGAACCTCAGGGATGATAGTCGCACGCTAGCCACTAGGCCAACACATCTCTAAAACACAATACTCCTTTGTTAAATGATAAACTAATTAATCTATGGTTCGAGTAATTAACATAACATCTGTGTCAATTTAGTTATCAAACACGTTTACGCTCACTGTAAATAAGATATTGTGTAAAATTTTATTAAAAATTAAATAATCATAAGCTTAGGGGCTTAGCGAATGACAACCCTGAGTATGTGATTGAATTAAATATGTTTTATTATTGTACTCCAAGAATTGGGTTTTTTTGTGCGACGGCGAATGCCAAGGTTGTGATACCAAGGGCGAGAGAAAGAAAAAGAAGACGTTGCTACTAAATACTGTCTCCGACACTATATCTTCTTATGCTCACAGAGTTAACATCATATGAGCCTCCTGCCCGTTTGCCCCCTGTTTTATAATAAAAAGAGTTATATTATATACTGCGACATTATTGTTTAAACTCTAAGTGTATGTATTTTTGTAAATAAATATTTGTCAAAATGGCCGCCGCTTAAAAGGCCGGTATCGCATTTGTGTGCCTTCAGCAGTGTGGTTAAGGGCGGGAATCAGACATCATCAACAACAACAACAATGTTGTTAATCAGGTGTCTCGTGCCCTTTTGCCCTACCCTATAAATAGGCTGAAATTGAGCAGTTTGCTATCAGCGCTTGGCGGGAGTTATCTCCGACAATACTATGTGTGTAATTTTTTTTGATACATTTGAATAGCTGCGCCCGCGAACATTTTTCCTTTATATGATTACTAAGCCTATACTTACCAACATATGGATTTTGCTATGCGACCCGATAGAGTTCACTTTTCCGGAATAGAAACTGTAATTTTTCCAACTCTCCATAAAAATCTTCAGAGTTCAACCCACGCGAACTTCGTTTCGCCTTGATATTATTACTTAGCCTATCCTTTCAGTACTCACCAACATATGGATTATGCTATGCTATCCCATAGATACATTTCCGTAAAAAAAAACTTATAGAGTATAAGAGTTCAAGGACTTAATAAATACTCGAATTAGTCTAAGTTTTGCGCTTAGCAACAGATTTTACGATTCATTTTTATTTATATACCTACTTAGATAAAGTGTTTAAATAAGCGTGTAAGTGATCTCTTTATGGCGTAAAAGAAACAGTAAAAATTATTACTACAAAATAATAGCGTAACAATCAAACAGTGGGGGACAAAAATGCTCTAACGACCCGTATTAATTCGATGATGTTCTATAGCCTGAAGCTTTCGGTAAATAGTCTTTTAAATGCAGAAATTGTTAGACATAAGTAGATATCGATGTCTTCTATCAAACTGTCGAACACTTATTGTCAATAGTTTCCGCAGAATTTGAATCTTTATTGGTCTCGACCTTGGGTCTTGGCTGTCCTGCTCATAACTTTGTGACAATACTCTATAGTTTATATCCATCAGGTCCTGGTATTTGTAGATATTGATGTCTTCTATAAAACTGTAGTACACTGCTCTATTGTCAATAGTTTCCACGGCATAAAGGAATATTTTGGTCTTCACATCTTGGAATTTTCGTATATAAAACCATTTGCATATAGCCTGTTTACATGAGGGGGGGGGGTGGGGGATTTTAAGCCTATTCAATGCTTTCCCCGATATAATATTAGTAGAAGTACCTAATAACTAATAATAAAAACGGAGATAAGAAGCGATACAAAAATATATATAGCTGCGTTGTGTGTTATTTGTATTTGATATAAAATCCACTTAGCAACGTTGAAGGTGTCTATTACATATGTGATAATTAAATTGCTAACCTTCTGAAATTCAGCGGTCGTGTGATCTTACACGCGTAACGTGATTTAAATAACGAGAGTACTGTTTATAAACAAATTTATTAGTGAAGTATTTCTGAACCAATTCGACTTGGCAATTCTTAAAGAGCCTCCTGGCATTGGTGGACTGGTTTAACATGAAAGCCTCTATAGAAAACAATAAACGTGTGTGTACCTACTTATGTACATGCGTTAGAAGTTATACTTCTTTAGCGTAACAAGATAAAAATCTTTTCAAACATTCTACGTTTGTAGAAAAAACTAAAATTTTGACCATAGCTAACTCCAGGGTGTCAGTTTTTTGGGACGGTGTGCGCGCGCATCGTTAAAATTTACTCTTATCATTTTTCCCTAACGCGCCAGAAGTATATCTTCAAAAGTCAAAAATAAAACTTTCCAATGAAATCTAAAGGTAGGAACTGACCAACGTTACGAGGTGTAATGTAACACGTTACACAGCGAGCATACGTGCAGTCAGTACGGCGTGTTACGGGGAAACCAGCGAGCAACGAGCCGCTCGTTGCTCGCTTTGAGTGCTTTACCCGGCTGTCGGTTTTTTGGCGAATCCTTTGACTGTTACGCGGTTCAGTAATTACGCGTCGCACGTCGCGAGTGATCATGATTATGATTTTCTATAAATTGTGTCTTTTTTAAGTACTTTTGGTCCAATTAAATTCAACAGTTCTTCAAAATCGAGACCTGCGTACAAAGTTTTTATACTGTCCAGTAATCATTTAGTTTTTAATATTGCAATCAATAACAAACCACCTCATACGCCTGTGTTTTTAAATAAGTTTTATGTCCAGTATAATTTTTTCTTCTTATTAATCTGGATGAAACAATAATTAAGTAGAATCAAAGATACCTACGCGTCCTCGCTGTCGGCCATCTCGTGAACACTGGCGGCGAAAGCGGAGCACAGAGTTTTGACGAGCATGTTACGCCGATTTTAAAACACAGCGTAACATGCTCGATGCGTAACACGCTCGATGCGAATGCTACATTACACCTCGTAACTTTGGTCAGTTCCCACCTTAAGGATTTTTATGTGTAATCTATGATTATCATAATAGTCATGTATTTCAGATAGCTTGTAACATACTGTATTATAAAGCATTATGTGATGTGGTGGACTTATAAATAAAATTAAAATTTTAACAATATCTCAATATATTTTAAGTAGTGAAAGTGAGTGAAGTAAAATGAGAATTGTCTCTGGACTCCTATTGAAGCCGTACAGTGTTATGTCAAAGAGAACCTATAGGTGGACAATAAAATGTTGTAGTGTGTTCTGACGGCGGATTTAATGATTACTTATAGCGCCATCTAGAGGTTTCACTCTGAATTACTGCAAGCGTTTGGAAGAGATTAAAACTTCGGTTGAGGAAAGAAGACAGAATTTGAATTATTCTTGGCTATAGCTAACTAAAGTCTAAAAGAAAGAGCGTTTAGAAGAGATTAATCAGTCGTTGGAGGAATGTTATACAACGCGAGGTTTATTTAAGGGTAAAAACTACCAATAAAATCCTGCGACGCCATCTGTTGGGAAGATTTGAGTTTTTAAGGAGAAAGTCCATAAAATATAGATTAAAAATAAACTACGACCCTGGAACGAGGGTTTTATTAGATAGAACATACACGAACATTCATCAGGATATAAAAACACATCGTCAAAGTTGTAATAGCGCCATCTATTATTTAAAGTCTATAGAGAGGCTGAAATCATAGTGGAAAATCTTGAATATTGTCTAATTGCAAGGTGACATTTAATCTAAACCCCTTTAAACCAAATAGGTATTAAGCCTTTTTGGCTTGGTGAGTCTATCTTTATTTAAAAGTTAAGAATTGGATTATCACACGCGCCGCAATATTAGTTGACAAGTTTCAAGTCTAAGTGTACAGAGAGACGTAAGATGCGCTGGAATATATTTAAATAGTGTCTCGATTTTTAAAAATAAATTGATTTTGACAAGTGAAGTTCACAGTGAGGCAAAAACAAAACAAAAGTCATCTTTTATGAACATGAACTTTGTTGAACACTTGAGCAGAACCACTTCAATAGTGTATTAGTGTAAACAGAGGCAAAACTGGCCTAGAAATACTTGAATAGCCTTGTTAGTAGATTATTCATTTTAAAAGGGTAAACACTTGTAAACACTTGAAAAAATTTACCTTAACCAGTGAAGTGCATCGTGAGGCATAAACAAGTATATGGAGAGAACGACGTCCCCTGTATGAACACAAGAGTAGAAAGAACCATTTCAAAAGTGACTTAGTGTTAACGGAGGCAAAACTGGACTAAAAATAGCCTTGTCAGTGGAGTATTGATATTAAAGGATACTGTAAAATACTTGACGATTGATCTTAATAGTGAAGAGCATCGTGAGGCTAAAAGTATACGGAAAAGTCTAAAAGTAAAAAACGAAGTGTATAAACACTAGTTCAACACTTGAGCAGAATTATTCATAGTGCTTTAGTGTGTACAGAGGCAAAGCTGGAATAAATAGCCTTGTCAGTGGAGTATTGATTTTGCAAGGATTCTTTTGAAAAATTGATTGATTGAACTAAGAGAGGAACACGATTCAAGGAACTACTTCCTGTTACAAAAATGGTTGAAGACACAACTCAAAATGGGGATAGGATGTCTGCAGCTGCCGTGCTGCAATTCGCAGCTCGGGAAGCAAGAGAAGGGAGGCGGTTCGCGGAATTTGGGGCCCAAGCATTCGCGAGCATCACCTACAACGCTTTTGGTATTATATTTTATCAGACCTATTTAATATTATAAACAGGTAAGGTATGTTTGTAGCAGGGTTCGAATGACAGCTGTGCACCAATGGATTTTGAAGAACATAGCACCGGCATTAGACCTAATCAGTCAAAGGCTTATCACCCACTTGCCTCATGACGACAGATACATAGCCCAAAACCTAGAGGTTGTACGCCACTGGTTAAGGGCCTCGCCATCTGGTTCTCAAGGGGGTTCAGGGCATAGAAGGCTGAGCACCCACTTGCCTCATGAAACAGATACATAGGACCCAGACCTAAAAGCTTGTAGCGAGAACATCATAACACCGGCATTCACCGGCACCTAATCAGGCAAAGGCTGATCACCTACTTGCCTCATGAAACAGTTAAATAGGACCCAGACGTAAAAGCTTGTAGCGCCACTTTTTAATTCATTTTGCTTTTGTTTAACTACTCGACAATAATTCTATTATCTCTGGTTACATTCACCTATGACCCTATATCTCTAGTTTCGCAAATAATGAACCAGTTACCCTTATCAAAGCACTTTGCCCTGCCTCAGATAACTGGTAAATGGTGAGCCACGTGCTGAACGAATTAGAAGGATTGAAAATGGATTTTATTTATTGTACGTAATCTTCTTTTGTCGCGTTTTTCTTTACTGAAAAAAAAAACTTTCGTAGAAAACAATTTTTACTTTTAACAGATTTTTGAAGGTTCTCCTTTGGATTTCTCTTGGATGCCATCATCAGATCCCGGTTTAATAAAAAATATATTATCAAAATCGGTTCAGAAATGACGAATCTATCACATCCGATCTGGATAATTTAGGTGTCAAATGATTAGGAGTTTCAGCAACTAGGTCTCCAGGTCAAAGGAATTGGTAATCAGACTGATAGTTTTCAGGGTATTAACTGAAATGTCTCGACAAAAAGCTCGCGTAGTTGCCTTCGACTTCCAGAATAGCCTAATATGATTTTCATAACCCGTATTTAAACAACCAATTCGACTAAGGGTCTTTCAAGAAAAGAGCGTACCAATTCCTTAAAGGCACTTACGAGCCCTGAAGCGACAGGTATTTCCGAACCAATTCGACTTGGAGTCCTACAAATAGCGTACCAATTCTTAAAAGGCCAGCAACGCACTTGCGAGCCCTCTGGCATTGAGTGTCCAGAGGCGTCAGGTATTTCCGAACCAATTGGACTTAGGGTCCTTTAAAGAGCGTACCAATTCTTAGATGGCCGACAACGTAATCGGGAACTCTCTGGCATCGTGAGTGTCTATGGCCGGCGTTCGCCTCTTTTCTATATAAAAATCTAAGAAATATTGTTATTAAATACCTTATACAACAATTCGCAATACGTTCCTCCTAGTGTATTACACTGTCACGTAAGAGAGAGAGTAATAAAATGTATGGTTATTTCAGCATCCCTCGGTGAGATGGGTGGCAGTGGCAGCTCATCCTCATCACACATGTCACCCGGGTGGCAGGTCAACGACCTGGATCTGGATCTACCTGGAGAGTTGACTATGAAGTATGTCAAATATCATTTATACTAAATCAGTTATTTAAAGTATTCTTTCGTCTCACTCTGCAACCCAAAAAGTGTCTTGGCTTTCGAAACGAGAAACTTCCTGCGCTCCTTGTCCTACGCCACGGTAAATTACTGGCTTTTAGCTATAGCAGCTCCTCCTACACTCTGTCGTTCCAGTACCTTGGTCGACCTACTGGTCTCCGACCACTAATCGTCCTACCTTTTTATATTAATGAATGATAAGGCTAAGGCTATTTAAAAACCAGAACTAAAATTAGTTGTTGTTATGTATATAGAAATACCACCATAAGTATGGTAACAATTATAACAAATTCATTATTATCATAATCGCTAACTTATACGTATGTCCACATTTTCTCAAATAGCCAACTGGGTCTTGGCCAAAAAGGTCTTGGTTCTGTGCCCTTATAAAAATTGCACCACAGAGTTATCTTATTAAAGAAAAAAAAATCGACAAAAACGCTGCACATCTTCGTGACGTTCCGTAAAATTATACCCTCATGCCCCTAAAGAAGTTTCACTTCAAATAGTAGCGCATGTCTTGCTTATTCGTTCTTCTTCTTTTGCCTCTCCATCACTGGTGGTTGGCCAACAGTCTCGTGAAGCATGTCCTGTGCCAGATGCAGCAACCTAACGTAACGAAGCCAAGATTTTTTCTTCTTCCAACCCCGTTTACCCTCGATTTTACCCATTATAGTTGAAGGAGGTGGTAGCGATCATGCCATAGTTTATTTGTTGAATGTTCTTTTATTACAGCGAGGCCTTGCTTTCCCTGCCATCATTGTCAGTGTTCAAGCAAGAGGCACCGTCTCCAACTGGGGCCGTACTGTCGCCCCCACGTCGGGCCTGGCAACCGAGACGACAGAATGAGAGACAGGTAAGTCAATAGGTTCTATGTAAGCTTGGAATGGTTAGTCATGAAGTTTTCCAATTGTGAGTCTTGGAAATTGATTCAGCAGTTTTGGGTTTTTTTTTTAATATACATTTTCCAATATCCCAAACTCTTGTGGTGCGGGACCGTATTTTATACATATATTTCGTACAAACATATACATACATACATTAAGAAATTTCCTAATATATATAATATATAAATATATATCCATACACAAAAATACATATATTACAACATTTTTCTATTTTATATTCATGGGCTAGAGGTAGCAGTTTTGGGATTGTACATACCAATCTTTATTCTTCATAAGATAACTAGAGGTCTCTTAAGCATCCTCTTTCATGCCTGTTTCACTTTTGTTCTCATTGTTTAATGGTCCTTGTTCAGATTTCATTTTGAACATGAACTGCGTGTATATAGGGTACGTCTGTAGGGTTTAGGGATCCGTAGGGTTGTTAGGTTCTTACGAGGGGAGGTCCAAAAGTTCGTGGAATGGAGGGGATGGAGTGGGGATAGGGGCGCTCGCTTAGTGTCATACTTAATTGGGGACTCATAATTAGTATATAAATGGAGTTTCAGCCCTATTGCGTCATTCGTTTACGAACACTCGCCTGCTAAACACGTCAATCCGAAAGAAAACTGAAACTATGGAGAAAATTGAACACCGTGCTGTCATTAAATTCCTTACCAAGCAAGGAAAGAACGCTCAGACCATTTTGAATGAAATGGAAACTGTTTACGGGGAACAGTGCCCTAGTAAATCAATGATTTACAAATGGCATGGTCTTTTTAAACATGGTCGTGAGTCGATTGAAGACGACCCCCGCTCGGGAAGGCCAGTTGAGGCCACCACATCAGACATCGTCGAAAAAGTGGAAAAAATTGTACTGGAGGACACCAGCCTGAGTCCAAACAAGAGTCCATGCAATGGCAAAAAGGGGACACCACCGCCAAAGAAATTCAAAGTGTCGGAGTCGGCTGGAAAGTTGATGGCTACTGTTATAAAGAAAAGGGCAGGACCATAACCGGAGAATACTACGCAACAATACTAGAAAAATTAAAGGATGCCATCAAAGAAAAACGTCGGGGAAAATTGACCAAGGGTGTGTTGCTCTTGCAAGACAACGCACCGGTTCACAAGAGCAAAGTTGCAATGGCTGCTCTACACACGCATGGCTTCAAATCACTAGTCCACCCACCCTATAGTCCAGATCTGGCCCCAAGTGATTTTTATTTGTTCCCCAATTTAAAAAAAGACTTAAGGGGAAGGAAATTTTCCGACGACAATGAGGTAAAGGAGGCAATTTTGGCTCATTTTGAGGGAAAAGATAAAAAATATTTTTACGATGGTTTAGAAAAATTAATTCATAGATCTAATAAATGTATTCAGCTTAAGGGTGATTATATTGAAAAGGAAAAATAAATTTACTGTTTCATTTTTACTAAAACCCTTTCATTCCACGAACTTTTGGACCTCCCGACGTACGTCTCATATATTTAGTTATCTAGTGCAGTTTGCTCATACATTACATATACATTACATATACATTACATATACATTACATATACATTACATATACATTACATATACATTACATATACATTACATATACATTACATATACATTACATATACATTACATATACTCCTGACATTCTATACATATAAATTTTAAACACACATTTCACATTCCACTGACTAGCAAGCTCTACAGTCCTGTTAACATTCGGTGGATATTTTCAGCTGAGTTTCACCAGCTGACTTGGCTGACGAGGATAGGAAGTATAATAAAGTATATAACATTTTCAGATCACAAACATGATTGTTGATAATCGCGAACCGATGGATGAAGCCTGTCAGGAGTCACCAACTCATAACATAATGAGTCAGCATTGTGAGTATTATACAATGTCTTTTTCTCCTTTTATTTGAGCAAACGGCGAAACTAATGTTACAATGGACTCTTAATAAAAGGGCTGGTGTTTACCTTTAAACCGATGTTCCGCAATTGAGGCAGTTTTTGCACCACCACTATGTGGAATAAGCCCGTTGAAGTATAAACAAACAAACAAAAATCATTTATTCATGTAGGTAACACAATGTACACTTGTGAACGTCAAAAAAAGGAAATATATATTAAATGCTTCTAACTTTATATTTACTGCCATTCAAATCAAGGGCGTAGAACGGAAGAGAACAACTGGCAATAAACTCTCCGCCACTCTTTTGAATCGCCAAGTTTTTGTTTTACACAACGTTTGTGAGGAGCTGCAACCATTACACCATGTTCCACATGACATCTTAAGTAATAAATAATAATTTAGACAATAGACAAAGATTTGTCTTCTATCAGCAGGAGGCATGGTTAAATAGGAGCACGCACTTACATTCTCGTGGGTATATATATATATATCCGAATCAAATCCAGGAGATGCTAGAGAATGGACAGGTCAAAAGTACCCTCAAGTTAAATGTCTTGGAGGAGAGAAGTGTGCAAGTGGCTCCGCGTAACTTTAATATGAAGAAAAGGGTTTGGGTTATATATTTAGCATTCTTAAGTATTTGATGATAGAATTAATTTTGCAGCTGACAGCCCAGAAAGCATGCAGTGCCAAACAATGGCGCCCACCATGATGGATATGAGCGGATACAATTCGCCAAACGAACATGACAATAAAAGTGAGTTTTTCTTCTCTTTTGCATGATTTTAGAGTTCGCCTAAAAGCCAGATCTCTTAGGCGATCAGCCATTGCGACAAAAAAAGAGAGCGGAGTGACACGGACGGCCGGCCGGTCTTTGACCTCTTTAAGAAATCCTTGAAACACTATCAGACATTTAGTGTCACTGTCAAGGCGATAGCTTCAGTTACACACAAATAAACACCCAACACACATTCTCTCATGTTGTCTGTAAACCTAATTGGCGTAATGTTAACTTTTTCTAAACAGAGAAGAATGACACGTGAATAACTTGACATGTGTCAAAGTTTACAAGCATGTTACGTCGCAGTACGCCGCCATCTTGCTTTGAGAAGCGTTTGGTTCTATGGTGATTAAATTTGTATGTCTAATCACAATGTACGATCGGAGATCTCTAGCCGCTGTTTCGTATACAAATTGCTAAATGGTCAAAGGCAGAACAGTGACCTCTTAGAGGACATTAAGATAAAATCAATGGCGCTACAACCTCATTTTAAATAATTACAGATGCTGGGTTGTTAATGTGTTCTCCCAGCGCGTTTGATGGCTTCTTGCAGTCACCTGTTCGCTCTGAGACCAGTTATAAGGATGACTCAAGGTAACATTTATTCATATAATACAATATATTATGTTTCATGATGCAAGTAGGTGATCAGCTTTTGCCTGGTAGGATCTAATGCCGGTATTTATTTATGTATGGGGTCCTTCTATTTGGGGGGTCATGGAAGGAAATTTAGGGAATCCAATGAACGATGATATATATATTAAGCTGGGATGATCCTCTTTGCAAATGTGAATTCAAAAAGTTATTAGGTCACATTCCAATAACAGACCGTGCAAGGTTGATGGCTGTGGGGTCTAGGGAAGCTGGACATTGGCTTAATGCTTATCCTTCGCCAAACACTGGCACCCTTTTAGACCCTGAATCACTTCGAATTGCCATCAGCCTACGCTTAGGAGTGCCCATATGTACTCCCCATAAGTGTCCCTGTGGTTTTGAAGTAAGTAGCCTTGGACACCATGGCCTACACTGCCAAAAGAGTGCAGGTCGTTTTTCTCGCCATGCCGCGCTAAACGACATTATACGCCGCTCTCTTGCCTCTGTCAATGTTCCAGCAATTTTGGAGCCAACAGGCATCGCAAGAGACGATGGCAAGCGGCCGGATGGAATGTCTTTGATCCCTTGGAAAATGGGACGGGCTTTAGTATGGGATGCTACCTGTGTAGACACCTTTGCCCCGTCTCATCTCCTTCGGACAAGCAAAAAGCTGGCGCGGCCGCAGAACAGGCAGAAATTAACAAACGGCACAAATATAAGAGTCTTTCCTCCAACTTCAATTTTGTTCCCTTTGGAGTAGAGACTCTTGGGCCGTGGGGTTCAAGTGCACAGGCGCTTATTAAAGATTTAAGTTGGCGCCTGGTAGATAGTACCGGCGACCACAGAGCTGGCACTTTCCTGGCTCAAAGAATAAGTCTCGCAATACAGCGAGGAAATGCTGCCAGCGTTAAAGGTACACTGCCACAGGGACCAAACTTTTTAAATTTGTTTTGATTTTCTTCTTTCTTCTTTAATTATTTTTATTATTACTTTATAGGTTAAGAACATTGTAAATACTGTATTTGTGTAAATAAAAAGAAATACTTTATAGTTATATTCAATTATATTACAGTCGTTTGTTGGGTCCCCTAAATTTCCTCACTCCGCCCACCACCAGCCTTTACCGGCTCTACCTAGTGGCCGTCTAACGCCGACTGGTTCTCGATATCCAGAACTTTTTGTATTTCAATATTTAAATTACTTACCCAGGAATTTCTATTCAGGAGTTTTTAAGAGAAAAAGAAGTAATCCTAGTGCGGGAGGCCAATTTTTTGATGGGACAGGAGGTAAACGAATCATTTTGAATCAAGTGATAACCGCACATGGACACCCCACAACTCCAGGGGCTAGCGGGCGCTAGAGTGGTCCCCGAAATCCAGAATTTTTCCTCTCCCAAAAGTACTAGATGAAGATTTTGAAAAAACATTTCAGATTTCAGTACGTCCTGGCTGCAGCGACGTCTATTGCCACGAAACAGAACGAGGAAACGTTGACATATCTGAACCAAGGACAGCCTTATGAGGTTAAGCTGAAGAAATTGGGCGATCTATCGCATTCTAAAGGAAAAATATTAAAGGTATTCTAAACGTTTGCTACCAATTTCGACTCGCGGTTGGGGTCTTCCCGGACGACCTTCAATTGTTTAAAGAGCATACTCCTCCCTCAAAGGCCGGCAATGCAACCACTACATGGGTGGGGAATGAAAAGATGGGGATCTTCCCTGAGAGATACGACATCCATTCGATATTTTGTGTAAATGCCTTGGTAATTTCTGACCTAATTTTCTTCTTCTTATAGCTGCCATGCCATGCCGCGCTTCTAAACAATGACTTGGTGCTTTGACCAAACCTTTGTCTTAGGTTTTTCAACCAAGAAGTGCGTCTGCGGTCAGGGCTCCTTCTACCTGCCACTTTACCTTATATGATTAGTTGAAGGAGCTCGTATTTTTTGGAGCTACGTAAAACGTGTCCGGAATACTTAAGTTTCCTTTTCTTAACCGTCATAAGCAATTCTTTGTTCTTAGTATTGTCTTTGATTAACATAACTTTTATTCATTTAATAAAAGTCACCGTGACCACGCACGCTGTAAAGCACGCGAAACGTCGGATAAATTTAAAATTATGTTAAATAGTTGTAAATTTATAATAATACATAACTTCAATCCGGTCAAAATAGTGTTTTATTAAATTCTTTGTTCTTCTGCATTCTGTCCAGCACGGTTGTATTTCGTATGCGGTCGGTCCAAGATATTTTAAGTCTGTAAACCCAGATCTCGAACGCTTTCAGTTTTTTGACCTGATTTTGACCACTATGTATATTTACAGAGTGTAATAAAAATTTGCTTCCACGAACGGAGACTTCAATATATGGAGAGGGAGCAGATTGCGCTGTGGCACGCCCAAAGGCCCAGCGAGAGGATTATTGAGGTAATTTATAATCAAAGACTAAAGAGTACATGTAGAAAAAATATTTTGGAAAGATAAATACAAACCACAGGCGTTACAACCTTTTTAGGTCTGGGCCTCAGATATCTGTATCTGTTTCATGATTTATCAATCTAATAGGCAAGGTGATCAAGCGATTCTGAAAAGGTGGGAGCTTGTAGTTTATTCTTTATTAGAATGCCAAATCATAAAATGACTGCTTCACGACTGATTTGAAAGCGACCGCCGATGCGAAAACCGCAGTGTGAGTTCGAAAAGTGAGTTACAGAATCGCAGGGCTGAGGTCGTGTCCGGTGGCGTAAGGGATATATTTAGGAAGATCAATGTATATATTAACCCTTAGGGAGCATTCAAGTATTACGTCACACAATTTTTGGAGATTATTGACCACCCCCAAAAAATCCATAGAGGTTAAATCAGGACTGTGTGGAGGCCAATTTATGTCACCTCTCCTGGAGATCAACTTGCCTGAGAAAATTTCACGAACTCGTGGCAGAGACGTATTGGACGTGTGCGACGTTGCTCAGTCCTGCTAGAACCATATTATTTGGTTATAGCCAGGAAAGTTTTGAAGTTCAGGCACCAAGAAGTCGTCTAACATTTTCACATACGCTCTGAATTGAAATGTAAATTTTCTTTTGAGACAACTGTTACAACCGTCAAAGAGTTCTGATACCGCACGTGATTGCACCGAGAGCGCCATCTCTTGGCAGAATAAGTAACATTATGCGCATTTAACAGTCGCTCGTAAAAAAACATCGTAAAACTGACATTAGGCCCCGATTTAAGCTTGACGTTTAACAATACGAATAAGTATTGCAAATCACAGTTGTAGTTTGACATTTGACAGTTAACATCGCTGTCAAGTTGAAGATTTAATATTGCCAGAATAAATTCGGGTATTTTAATCACTGACAGCTCGAGACTAGACATAAGTTTGTCATCTGACAATGTCAATTAATTAAACCAACATGTGGGCTAAAACGTAATTATATTATAGGTCGACGTCCCATTGTCGTACGGAGTGACGCGCGTTGAGCAACCGTCCGCGTTGAACGCTTTGCACGTGTATTGGGACCCGACTAAGGATGTTGGCGTGTATATCAAGGTATTATTTTTGTCTATTTTATGTTCCTCTGTATACTACGTTTATATACTTTTTGTATTTTTATCCTTTGGATAGGGTTTTTTTACCTCTGTATGATTTTTTTTCTTTGGATACAGATTTATTTTCATCTGTATAGTTTTTTTCTCTGTACGCGGTGTTTTTCTTCTGTATAGGTCTTTTTTTTTTCTTTAAGTACAAGTTAAAATCAAAACAACATTTATAAACCGTTTTTTTTATTTATTCCCAAAAATACATACACCTTTACAGTACTAAACTAATACGATGTAGTCGAAGTATATAATATTTAATGCATAATATACATACACAATATCGCTATGTGAACTCTGCTTACATATACACATAGAAGTAATGCCTCCTATTGCCATTTCTCAAAGACGTAAAACGAACTGGCAACTGGTCTCTTAATTATTTAATTTATTATAAAGAAATCAGGTAAAACTGTTAAATCAAATGAAAATCATTGTTTATAGGTGAATTGCATATCCACGGAATTCACGGCGAAGAAACATGGCGGCGAGAAGGGCGTGCCGTTTCGTATACAGGTTGAAAGTTATTTGGCGAGCGAGGAGTCAGTTCGGCTACACGCGGCCGCCTGTCAGATTAAGGTAACGAAGGATATGAGCGATAGTGCAGAGCAATCAGTGAGTTGGTGAGTGAGGGAATGGCTGAGTGAGTGAATGATTGAGTGAGTTAGTGAATGAGTGAACGGTTAAGTGAGTAGTGAATGACTGAACGTGTGTTTCCGTCGTTTCTTAAGGCAGTTTTTTTCCGCGCACCAGCTGCCCATTGAAGTATTTCCGAACTAATTCGACTTAAAGTCCTTCAAGAGAATGAGTATAAATTCTTAAAAGACCGGAAACGCACTTTAGAGGCTCCTGGCATCACTTAACATCAGAACTTAACCTGTCCGTTTGCCCCTATTACATAAAAATAAACGATTTAGTTGGTGAGTGAGTGAACGATAGAGTGATCATTATTCATAATTCGAATCTAAATTGATTTAAAGAAGCTATGGTTCGTAACCATTACGACCCGTTTTTAATATATGTATTAAAATCAACTTATTCTCAAAATTGTGAGTTATTGAGTCAGGAATGAGGGAGTAGGTAAATATGTATTGCTTTTTTACATGCGGGAAGCAGTTTCCTAGAGAGTTAGTGAGGGAATGAGTAAGCGAATGAGTGAGCACAGTCTGTGGTGAAATTCTATTTAGAATTGTATTAAAAGCCCTTGATTGTTCTGCGCATATGTTATTTTTAAGAAGATACGATTTGTAGCCATTACGACCCGTTTTTAATATATTAATTGAACTGAGTGATAAAGTTACTTAGATTGTGAGACAGTGAATGATTGAGTCAGGAATGAATGAGGTCAATGAGTAATATTGATGGGTGTTAGTTCTTATGACTTATAGTAATAATACGATATATCATATTATATATAATTAAGCCCGTTTATTTCCAATCTTTGCAAAAGTTGGATATCCTAGCGTCCTTTAATATCATTGATCAGAACCCCTTCTCGGGTAAAGGCCTCCTCCAGCTTTTTTCTTAATATCTCTATCGATGGCATTCTTTCTCCATTCACTTCTATATCAACCTATTTTATTTGGGGCACCTTCTTCTCCTATCCCTAGTAAAGGACGGTAAGGACCCATACAGTTGTCTATAACTACCTTCAGTCAAAAAAAAATTGACGGGAGTCGGACGTTCCTTACCTTCAGTGACCAGCCTTGCACCTGGGACCAGCCTTTTTTAATACTTACCCATTTAATCGAATGAGAGTAGAGAGAAAGTATTACTCAAAAGTCAGGAATCCTGAAACTGAGGTCAGAATTTTTTATTTGATAACGCTTTCCTCTTAGGTGTTCAAATTGAAAGGCGCAGACCGTAAACATAAACAGGATCGGGAGAAGGTCATGCGCCGTCCGCCGACTGACATCGAGAAATACCAACCTGGATGTGAGGCAACGGTTCTTACTACGGTAAGTTTTAACAGCAGAACACTGCTGCACTGTTGCTCCTAACACTCGCCCAAGATAAACGTCTGATCACATATTTGCCCCACGAAACAGATACATTTGACCCAGGCCTAAAAGGTTGTAGCAAAAACATCGTAACGTCGGCATCAACTTGATGGCTGGAAGTCTTCCCGGTGGGGTCTCCTCCAGGAGATACGACCCCCAAATGTTTAAACTCGCATACTCCTCCCTTGAAAGCCGGAAAGGCACTCACTAAAATGGGTGTCCAATGGGTTAACGAGACTGCTCTTTTTGTGGGTTCCCTAAAAAAAGTATACTCAATCAGCCAAAGGCTGATCACCTACTTGCCTATGAAACAGATACATAAGAGGCCTAAAAGGTTCACGGGCCATAAGTCTTTTTTCAAGTCAAAATACTGTAGCATGGTACGCCAGGATGGTGCGACGCCATCTTGTCTAGAGATATTTATTCAATTTTGAAGTTCTTAATTTCATCATCGGACGGGGCAGAGTTGAAATTCCACCCGTATCACCTCGACGTCCGTCCACAACGGAGCGTTTTAAGTCAGGTCACCACTATGTGGAATGGCTGCCCATTGAAGTTTTTCCGAACCAATTCGCCTTAGGGTCCTTCAAAGAGCGTACTAATTCCTAATAGACACTTGCAAGTTTTCTGCCATTGTCTATGGGTGGTATCACTTGACATCAGATAAGCCTACTGCCCGTTTACCCCCTGTTCTATAAAAAAAACCACAAATAAATCTGAAGTGATTTTAAAATGTTGTCTAATTTGCGAAGATAGAAATACAAATTTAGGGGTTATCATTCTATAATGACATTCTGACGTTTGACATATGTCAAATATAACGTTTAGTTGTAGTCTATGCAAATGTCATTTATTCACAATCAATATATATAATATATATATGGTAAGATATATTCGAACTATAATGACATAACGAATCCCACGCGATGGTTCTCTTACCACGATAGCACATACTTTATTTAAAGTAATTTTTTCCTTACCAGCTCTCAAATGACGCTTTGATGCCTCCACCGGTTGTTACAACATCACCACCGTACTCTCCTGAATTGTGGTAAGTTATTTGCGTTTCTCATCAATTAGGCTCTTCCATAGCATCAAGTAAATTGCTATTAACACTCGTATGAAGGAAAACATCGTAATACCATGAGACAATCAGGCAAAGGCTGATGATACTTGCCTCATAAAACAAATACATAGGACGCAGACCTAAAAGGCTCTAGCCCGTAGATTTTCCTAATTAACTTCCGAAAATTTTCTTACGAAAAATGCTCAAGTGACAGCCTAAAGCATCTTTTCCACAGACACAAACTTTATCTTTCAATTAAATAAAACATCAGTTGACACATGACAGATAATTAACTATCTAAATGAAATATAATTATTTCTTTACATATATAGTAATATATAGACTAAGTAAAACTATATATATATAGTTATATCAAACCATGGTTAAAGTGTAATACTCTGTGCATTGAGCACAAAGCATTATTTTTATTTGTGGACTGTGGGTTGTCATATCCTGACGCCGAAAGTACGTCTTTAGATCTGAATTGTAAATTGTCTAATAGAAGAAATGCGTAGCTGTAGTTGGAAACAGAAATGTCAAAGTTTTTAGGCAGGGACTGTACCCTTATGTCTGCACTCTTTCAAAATTGAAAAAGAAGCAGAGCGGCTTAACTGATGCTAAATGATAGCCCAGAAGATAAGAAGATAAACCCACTGATAGACACTTGACAGGACGCTCGCAAGTGCCTTTTAAGAATTATGCTCTTTGAAGGACTCAGTCGAATTGGTTGGAAAATACCTATTGCCTATGGACACTCAATGCCAGAGGGCTCACGAGTGCGTTGCCGGTCCTTAAGAATTAGTACCGTCTTTGAAGGACCCTTAGTCGAATTGGTTGGAAAATACCTATTGCCTATGGACACTCTCAATGCCAGAGGGCTCGCGATTGAGTTGCCGGCATTTTAAGTATCGGTACGCTCTTTGAAGGAATCTCGAATTGGTTTAAAAGTACTTCAGTGGGAAGCTGGTTCCACATAGTTATGGCGGCATAAAGTGCCTTATAAAAGTTCCAGTTGATTAAACTTAATTCTCATGTGTGTAACATATAGACCACTCAAAGAAGTCTAAGTTAGAAAATTGTATAAAGAGTGTAGCGGCGAATGCAAAGAAAAGTAGACCGAGGGGCAAGTGGAATGCGGCGTAGAAATATGGTAACCACTCACCGTTAGCCTTCCTTCTGTTCACTTATTTTCGTGGGAGAAGACCATAAATAAAATGCGTGCGTACAAAGTGCACATGTCAGAAGTGAAAGTTCTTTGGCAAACTAATTTGTAAGTCTTCGTTCATATTTATACAAATCTAAAAGTTAAGATTTCCGAGACTTAGAGGGAGAGAAAAAGGAAGAGATGTTAGGAATTTAATGAATTTAATTGTCATTAAAATATTAAAAGTGAACACAGAGGAATATAGGTACTTGGATGGCGTGAACAAAGAGTATTTTAGTAGACATTTTGTGATTGAATGGATCTAAAGTAGCACCGAAATAGAACGTAATTTGATTCAATTGACTTCGTTTATTCCGATCTGTGAATGAGGATCTAGATCATTGAGTGAAAAGATTGATTGTCAATTGTCATTGTTGTTACGTAGGATGTCAACGGCCGGCGTTTATCTAGAGACTTCAAGAAAAAAGCGTACCAATTCTTAAGAATTGGTACGCTTTTTTCTTTCTTCATTTTTAAAAGACACTTGCGACCCTTCTGGCATTGGCATCAAAAGACACCAAAAAATAAATATGCACGTCTATAATCTACGACTAATCAAAGCGATGACGTCATACCTTAAAACGCGCGATCAAAGTATTTACCGTTGGCCATATATGATGAGATAGATGACGAGATGTATGAGTAAGGCAGTCGAAAACTCGAAATGTCTGCATCTTCTACCGCATTTAACATGGAGAGTGTTCAGAGGAGTTGTTGGGTCTAATAGTTAATACCTGCAACTGAGTTTCATCATCGGACGTCTAGGCAGAATACAATTATTACAAAATACCATCCGTATCACTTTGACGTCCATCGTTAATTTCTGCCGCGCACCACCACGTGAAACCAGCTGCCCATTAAATTATTTCATTTCGACTTCAAGGTCCTTCAGGGTCCTTCAAGAAAAGAGCGTACCAATTCTTAAAAGTCACTTCTGGCAGTGCGAATGTCCATGGGCGGCGGTATCACTTAACATCAGTTGAGCCTCCTGCCCGTCTGCCTCCTGTTACATAAAAAAAGAATAGATTAGAGTAGAATCCGCCTTCACTGGGGAAGGCGAGGTCTCTTCGTACTTCATTCACTCCGGTGAGCTTCTGTCGTGCCCTTCAGGCGAATGTCTAGGCCGCGACGGCCCAAGCCAAGGTCTGAGTCTCCCTTGTGCTAGATGTGGTAATTGTAAAAAGCCCTTCAGGCCAACAGATCCATTCCAAAAATTGGTAAGGATCCTTTAGGTCGGAAAAAGAGCAGCATCTGCTTCTTCCACATCCTTTTTTAATAAAAAAAACATCTGTCATAAGTACTTATGTACACGCATTAGAAGTTATACTTTGGCGTAACAAGTTAAAAATCTTTTTAAAATTTTTATCTTTCGCCTTATTCTACGTTTGTAGAAAAACGACACTTACAATAGAAAAAAGGTATTTAATACATTGAAAGTTTTATTATAGCGCATTATCTCAAAAAATTATTTCTACATAATTAAAGAAATAACCATTTTTTTTTATTGTAAAATGTTGACTAAGCTTCAGGGTGTCGGTTTTTTGTGACGGTGTGCGTTTGTCGGTTTTTTGGGAAAATTTACTCTCATCATTTTTCACACATCATTTTTAACTTCAAAAAGGTAACGGCGAGGTGCTATCTTCATATTACGACGCGATCCTATCACGGTCGAAGTACGCTTTTAATAATGTAAAATGTCAATGCTTATATGTATCATGTTACACAGATAAAATTTCTGTATATGTATATGACAAATCTTTCGTAAATCGATACGATAAAAACCGGTTTTTATACACATCACTAAGGTTTTTAAATATAGAACGCCATTGCGTAGTTGTCAGCGAGTTGTAATTGCATTAAGGAGGCTCTGAGTAAATTAACATACCGATGTAATTGAACTTATGCTGTATGGTGTATATAGAAGAGTTCTAGTTGAGTTGAAAATGATCGCAATGTCTAATAGACGGATCTACGGCGAAAAGTAGCATCGTAAATACTTACGAATTCCGAAAATATTGAAAAGTTATTTTTAACTTAGTAAAACGATATGATCTTTAACTTAGTGAAACCACCTGCCCGTGTGAACTTTGGCAATACCCTTGCGACTGTGTTGCTTGTAATTTTATAACAGCAGGCAAGATAAAAAATTCAAAAATTTCAAAATTTTTACTGTACGTTTGTAGAAAAAACGACACTATCAATCTATAGCTAACTTCAGGGTGTCGGATTTTTGTGACGGTGTGCGCGCGCATCGTAAAAATGTACTCTCATAATTTTTCCCTAACGCGCCAAGAGAAGTATAACTTAAAAAAAAGCTGTGGACTTAACAGTTAAATAAAATATAATGAATTATGGCATTTTGTGAATTGAAATATAGCGATAATTAATTAATGGCAGCCACGCGTGCGAAGCTGCAATTGTAGACAGTCAGACGCCCGCATCGTTTAATCTCGTCAATCTATTTTTAGTTCTGTAAGAGAACAAGTTGAATGTAGTTTTAACAGGCACTGAAATGAATACCTAAAGTCTATTTATAATAAATGATGAGAGATATTAGCGTTTCTGGCATGCTTTAAATCTCATATCTGTCAACTTAAGAGTCTTCCAAAAAGAGAGCCTGAGGATGAGCCAGAGGTCTGCAATACAAGCTCCCTGGGGTTGGAAATTGGCGTCGGTTAGCACTTTAGTCGAAGTGACCAGCCGCCAAGATTTGCTCCTGTCGCATAAAAAAACCTAATTTTTTATCTAATTATTTTTAACAATCATTTCATCATTCGAAGGTTACCCTCGATTTCTCTAAAATGTCATCGTTAGATTCTTTCTTCATCATGGTACCACCCTTGGGTCCGTTCCAAGAAAAAAATATCAAAATCGATTTATAAACGACGCAATTATCCGCGAACGCATAAAAGTTATATTATATACAGTCGAATTGAGAAACCTCCGTTCTTGAAGTCGGTTAAAAGGTCAAAGAATTCTCTATTACACTAAGGCCGCCCCCTGGTTCACCTTCACTGCCTTTTAAACATGTTAACCTATTGTGAAGGTGCTTATCTTATCGCCTTTTTGTTTATATTCCTTTATATTCACACTAAGGCGTGTGCTTCGCTCGGGCATCCGTAAACCATGAAAAATATACCTAAATTTTCCTCATATTCAGATATTTGTGAAAACCGCAAGAAATTTCGGGCAGTTGCTAGGCATTATCAAGCTCTTCAATTCTCTACAACTCATATATCTCTCGTTAATGCACCGTTCGTAATTTTTCATTGTTGCCTATTACTCACAAGTAACGTGGCTTTCTATTGGTAAGAAAGTATACAAAATCCAGAGATATTCGTAAATTTATTTTAAATTTTTTTAATTTGAATTTCGGTTTTCAATTGTTTAGAAATTATACTTACTGTGTTTCGTAACAATTTCCTAGTGATTTCTTCCTCAAACCTATAATTTGAGTTTCTTGAGTGAACAATTTAATTTTTTTAATATTAAAAACGGTGTATGTTACATGGTGGTGATTTTAGAAAAGTTAAGGTACTAAAAAGGTTGGGAAACATTGCCTTAAAATCTCACAAACTTTACCTCTTTGGCACGGTTTGTGCATTAGCCAGCGTCAAGTATAAGATTTTTATAATTCGTGCTTTTTGCCTTAGAAATTCGACCATATCTCCTCCATGTACGGTTTAGGCACTCGCCCGATACCGCACAACCCTCCCAAAGGCCGAGAACAAATTTTAAATTAAATTAAAACTTGCCCTCGAACCGGGAATCGAACCCGGTACCCCTCACCTAGCTGCCACTTAATAAGACCGCTAGGCTCTTTACCTCTTTATAAATAAAAATATATGAAGTGTCACTTTGATCTTTTGATATGACTGACAGATCCATTAATGGTTTTAATCCTGACTAAAAACCGTTAAATCGAATAAACTGTCAAATTTATATACGAAAATACTATAGCTTGGCGCAAACGGCGTAATAAAACTGTAATTCACGCTAAGTCGCGTGCATGTTATAAAATGTTTCGTCATGTCGGTGACGCAATTAAATTTAATAGTTTAGTATTATTGTCCGAGGTCGTGAATTCGAAACAAGTGATGTAGTGATTTTAACCGGTTAACGTCAATTTTAATTTAAAAACCAGTTCGCGCCGGTCTCCATATTGGTACGCAATTGGCCGAATCAGCAATAATTTATATCCTCAATCCGGTTCTTTGCCGTTCCGGTGTGTTTAGACTTTAAATAAATTTAGTTTATTCTAGTAACCGTCAAAATATTAAAACCGGCAAACGCATGCACATCACTATGTCGTTCAATGCACTAATAGTGACCGGATGCGTCCTGCGCGAACCGATTTTAACCGGTTTAATTCCATTCGAGCGCGCCTCACTCACAGCCAATCAACGCTGGATTCGCTCAGTTGTTTTCGTTCAGTGATCTGTCACGTACGCTGTACGCCATTTCGCGATATTTTCGAGTTTCGTTTATTGCTACAAAAACGCATATTTATAACGCGGTAACTAAATAATGCTGGACAAGTGATTGTTTAAAGTTGTGTATAACGTTTGTAATGGTTGGTGAAGTGGTTAGGGAACTCGCTATGGTGGATGTTCGTAGCTCGGCTTTCCGTTTTGCCTCAGGAGCGTTTCTATTCTTTAACCTGACCAGGCAGGATTACAGCTGACGAGTACAATGCTCGTGATCGAGCAAAGAGTCCACACACGTAACTTAAGCCGAGGGATCTTTCTTAAGGCTAGACTGTTTCATGGTCTAGAGGCCAGTGGTTGGCGGATGAAATTCTCTCTTCTGAAGGCCGAGGTGGAGATCGAGGCTGATATTGAGACTTATATAGAGATTGCAAGAAAACTGAAAGCTGCCAATGTTGTGGTTAAGCCGACGCGACTTAGATTACCGTAAATATCCAGTTATTACCGACTTTTTCCAAGCCACTCAAATTACATTGTGTTTGAGTACATTTTGTAGTTATTTTCATAACAGCTTATGCAAGGCAAATACTTACTACTTTGAATGAGTGTTACATATTATTACCTGATATTTGCATAATACATAAATCAACAATTTCTTTTTATACAGACAAAATTAATATGATATTACTTTTATTAAACATTATTAGTAAGAGCAGTATAAGTCTAGAAATCTAGTCTAGTCTAGCATAGACTTAAAAGTACTATAGGATATTTACCAAAGGATTTGTTGAATGTTTATATACCTGAATGAATATCCTTAATTTCTCAAAGAAACTTCAAAATTTCTATTGATAAAATTCAAAGCATTGTTTATATTGCTAAATGTATAGCAGTAGATACATTTCTGCTTTATATATATATATATATATATATGAATTTGTACTTAAAATTCAAAAAATACAAAGTATAATGCAATGCTTATTGGTATTTGCTTCCAGACAACCAGATTAAAGATCTTTTTTTTTCTAGTGCACGCCAGCCTATGTTGTATTAATAACATCCTAGAGAGTCCTCATAGAGTTAATTTGTTCAAACATTCACAACAAATCATTCCACTTTAGCATTTTAGTACAGATTGATATAATTGAGTTTTTTGTTAAATAAATCTTTCAACTATAGGCCTTGTTAATAAGCTACACATCATTAAAAGCTACCCTAGTGACAGAATACTATTAAAAATGCTATTTTATAAAGAAAACTGAAATAAATTCATACATATATCTAACTTAGAAATACAGTTAGTGAACTTTGGTTTATGCAGGAAATACCCAACTAAATACTAATAAAATATAATATAAATTACCACAATTTTTTTATTTACATAACTCATTGTTACAAATTCTTTATAGCAGCTATGGTTAGAAATATAAAGACAGAAAACAATTACATATATTTATGATAAGAACCTTATTGTTCTATTATTGCCAATAGAAAGAAAAACACTTTGTTATTTAATAATAAAATTTGTAATTATATTCATCAAAGACCTTTTTTTAAGTTGCATAAATAGTTTGAATACATTAGTATTATATTTAGTTTAAAATTTACAGTTAAATCCCATCTTTACTAAAGTTAATGGCAAAAATATAATTACTGTTTAGTATATTGCAACATTTCAAGTAATACTGTATCTGGAAAGGTTTCATGATTCAACGATTATATGAAGGACAGGAAACTATCAATAACCAAAGATACTAGAATTGTCTATAGATTATAATTGACATTATATGTATGTATGTGACTTACACAGGAAAATACTTATAAAACCTTAATACTTATAATTAATAATAAAAAATATAATAACAATAAAGCCCATTAATTTCTAATCTTTACAAATGTTGAATATACAATTTAGATTTGTTATTTTTTTTGAAGTTGTACTTCTTTAGGCGCGTTATGAAAAATTGATGAGAGTGAAATTTTACGATTGCGCGCGCACCTGTGACACAAAATTGGCAGTGTGATATAGCGTGCGCGAGCGAGATGGGAATAAGACAAACTACAAGTAAAAAGAAATAGAATATGCGTGAAGCTAACTTACAAGCACGCATATTCTAGCTTAGCAGCTTAACAAGAATTTTGAATGACCATGACAATTGACATCTGACAATGACATTTACCTTTTAAACAAATATAGGAGTTTTAATTATTGTTTAAAATTAATAATTATATACCTAGTTATTTTCATTATACAAAATATTTGTGAAATAATATAAAATATTTGTGAAAAAATTGTGCTAACCTTCCTGAGTGCTTCAATACAATTGAGGTTAACTATCCGTATGTATTATCGAGTATTATTGTTGATTAAAACTGAAACATGAACCATTATTCATTGCTTTTGTTTATTGCGTTTGTTACAGCAACTTTTTAGAAATATTCTACGACCCTATATATCAATAATTGAGAACAAAGATTTAAGCACGAATACTAATAAGGAGAAAATGAAGGCTTGGAGCGATATAACAGAGAAGTAAACATTTTAATAAGTACCTGCATCTCAAAAAAATGACCACATTATTTAATCAAAACATCAGATTTAATCTAGCAAATATAAGGACAAGAGACAAAAAACAATTGATGAATCAGTGGAAGTGCACTAAATTGAATACAAAAAAAGAGTTGTCATCTTATCGCCGTGAAACATCAAAAACTGGAGGTGGAACAAAGCCACCATCACCTTCTCGAGACACAATGGTTTGAAGTAGATTTCAATGAATTTGATTGTGATGGTGTCGAGGTTGGAATGTTAATTATAAATATGATGTGTGGTGATGTTCAAGGTTCAACCTTTCAAGCATAGGCATATGCTTACAACATTACTTTATTCCCCTACAGGGTAGTTAGAGATATTGTAATACCTCAAAACATCCATGTTGCACTTGTAGTACCGAAACTCTGTCCTGCCAGAAGTGAGCCCATTCCCACTTATAATGGACAGTGGGTATAATACACCTTAATACCTGAGTGCGAACCACTCACCATGATACTTAAATTAATAGATGTTATTTATATATTTCAGGTTATTACAAATAAAATCATTTTGGAAACAATTGATATCCCAAAAGCAAATAAAGCCAACAATGACAAGGTAATAAATCAGTTTTGACATAACTTGAATACTAAAAAAGCCAAACAAAGGTGTGCACAACAGTGACAACATAACTTAACAATTTCATTATTTTGTAGGATTAAAGAAAGGTTAAAGAAAATCATGTCGAACTGAACAACAAGAATCCCCAAACAACTCCAAAGAAACCTACAAGGAAGACACCGGTATTATATTTAAATTATCTCTATCTCTAAATAGAATAAAAGAAAGTTGCTATCCAGGTCTGTAGCATGTGCTACAAATTATATTATTAACACATTTATATAATTATATTAATATAAATGTGTTAAAAAATTTATAATATGAATTATAAAAAATTTTAAGTTTTGCATGGACAGAGCTTAAATTAATATTCTCTTATTTGTTGCAGAAAGCAAGTAGTTTTGGAGAAGCCTCGTAGATGCACAACCAAGTAATGATTAATTTAAAATTACAAACCGAAATTCTGATGAAGACATTAGAGTCACTTAAAAATAAATAGTATAATGAAATAAAAATGTTTTAAAGATAAATAGTGTTTTATTTGTTTAATGTAAGAGAATAATAATAAATATTTATTTAATTAATTTTTCAAATGTAAACTGAACTTTATTGACTTTAATGACTCCTTTTCCAGTCTTTGATTATTTAATTGTAATTAATTATTTGCATGCAATCAAAAACTATTTTTAATAATGCCAAAGAAGTATAACTTCTTACGCGCGTACATAAGTACACGCACCCTTTTTTTTATTCTTTTACAAACAGTGGTGGTGATTGTCACCAAACTGATACTGATACTAGAAATTTATATATTATTAAATAAATAAAAAATTTACTTAAATATTACCTGGAAAATAAAATTATATGTTTATATCGTACATCTATTAATTATATATTGCTATTTTTTTAAATTAATTATTAAATATGGTTGCCTAATTAAATCATGCCACAAATAAGGGTTACCTGCTGTTGAAGATGATAAATATTGAGGGTAGAGTGAAAGAGTTAAAGCATAACATCATTTGTCAGACGAGGATAGCGATTGCCGGCTGTGGGCCACTTTTAAGCCAAGGCGTCGAATGTTAATGTTCTCAAACTGAATATATAATTATTAATAACTGTACGTTATAAATGTATAGAAATCACACCTGGCTACGAAGAAGTGCGCAACGGCAACCGTGATTTTTTAAAATCTTTATGTAAATTGCCGTGTTGTAGACGATATTTTATTTAAAAAACAAGTGAACGAAATTTTTTCTCAAAAATCAATTCAAATTAATTTAATTAAAAATACTAGCGGCCAAATTTTTATAGGCAACTTGGTAGATATATATTCTCCTAATTAGAATTAGAATACTAAATAAAAATTTTGTTTTTAGAAAATAACCTATAAGCGCACTAATCCTGCAGCCGGATCTTAGACTATCAGGAAAATAAATCACCAATAGAGAATAGATCAGTTTCACCTGCATTCATTCTTTTCAGGATGTTCTATAGCCTTAAGCATTTTTTGAAAATCAAATCGTTCCTCTTTATAATATAATTCTAGATTATGGTTGGAACTATGAATATTAACAAAATAAATCTTTTGTCTTAGCACACCGAAGGTGGCAAGCCCTGGACTGAACAAGCCTGTGCTGTCTCAACCAAGTAAGTTTTCATTAATTTTTTATTTATGTGGTGTTTTTTGACAGTTGGAAATTTAACTTATTTCTATGCTGTATTACTTATTAACTTATTTAACTATTGTTGTTATTTAACTTATTTCTATGAAGTATGTTTGTATTTAAACACATTTTTTATTGAGTTTAAAGAAAAGAACTATTTGTTATAATTGTACTATAACTATACTAGAACTGAGCTATCATCATGACACTTAACAGCTAAGTTGACGTTTTTTTCTTCACCCCAGCTGTCATTATGACACATTATGATAATAATATAGAATTAAATATTTGTTGTTTTTATTTTCAGCTATCATCACAACAAATCAGATGAAAGCCTTGTACTGTCAAGAGTAAGTATCTCCTCCAGTCTTACCATGTTATCCCATGTTTACAAAATTAGGTCTACCGCTACTTATCCAGTAGCGTACAGTGACAGGGTTGTAACCCTGGCCCCCTCAACAATAATCCTCCACTGATGTCAATCCTTGAAAACTTTCCCCATCACTTATATCCTTTTCGATGTAATCTTTCCATCTTGTCCTGGTTGGCCTGTTATGCTGTCCACTGGGTCATAGTTTTGGTGCCCTGGTCTGTCTCTTTCTACTGGACCAATAGGCACTAAGTTTCCTTCATCGCCTGATCTTGGTACATGCTCTCCAGGTTAAATAATCTAAGGTTAAATAAATAAAAACGATTAAGTTTCGATTCTTAAGTGTATTTTGAAATAATTTATTGTTTTTAGAGCCCCCGAGGTAAAAGTGCCAACACCATCATGTCACTCGCCAGGCGCCATCTTGCCCGATCTGCCGCACCCCACAGATAATGACACCGACAAGGTAAATGTCATAATCATTTCATACTTAAATATATAATATACAGTTTTAATGTGAGCATTCTGTGTAAAAAGCGTTATAGAATAGAAGAACTTGGAAATTATAATTAATTAATCAAAAAATATTGAGTTTGTACGTCAGTCACGTGACGTAAACCAGAGACGTAACATGCTTGTAAATAATGTCGTCTCCTAATACTGTCTTAGAGTGTATATAGTTATATAACCTCGTGTGTCACCACCATAATTATATTTTATATAAACAAAACCATTGCAACATAGTAGTACAAAGATCCTTTATATTTCAATAGCCGAAATGCTGTTACATGATTTACGAACCACTCTTAGTTCTTACTAAGTAACGTTTCCTTGTAGAGCGTGAGAACAATGTGTCAGCACAACGGTCACGTAGGCCTGTAAGAATAGGATATAAATATAATAGAACGCTTGTAATATACAGTATTAAACGGACCTCAAATCGGACCGGTTGTATTCATTTTAACTTTAAGTTTTTAAAAAACCCTTATTTCGCGGACCCACTACTTGACTGGCGCTGAGGACAGGATAGTCGCTCTAGCTGCACGTACTTCTCAATTATCGGTTCGAGCATCAAATTCTGCTTACCTAAAAGGGGAAACTACGTCGCGATTGCTAAAAACGGCTATTCAAAAGAACAAATAAATTTGTCAAGAACGCAAATCCAAAAGCGTTAAGGGTGTTTTGTGCGAGTGTTGAGGCAGCGATGTACTGGTAAGTCACCTTTTCACCTTTCAAATCCAGCCCTCTCCACTTTTCTTTTGTTATTTTGAGATCGACATCTCTCATCTTAACGATAGTTTTAAGACTTTGTTAGAGTTAAATTCATATATAAACGTAAATTGTAATAAGTAAATTAAAGAAACATAAAAGTAAGTAGGTTAGTGCATGAAATTCTGCAACCCCTAAAGTAAGTATAAGTTTAGATTCACATCAAATTCTGTGAGCTAAAATTATTGAGTAATTGTGTAATTATTTAATCAAACAATTCCTGAAAGAATACATAAAACCCAAAAAGAAATATTTTATATATTTCGAAAATACGGAACATCGCAAACAATTCAGCAACATGGTAATTAGGCTTTTTAAAGGTGGATCAATTCAATTTTTTGAGTGTACGGAAAGAATAGTTTTTATTGACGATGAAAATGAACAGAAAGCCGTTATTCTGAAATTTCATCTCGGGAAAACCTGTCACAGAGGTATTCAAGAAACTTTTACACGCATCAGGCGACACTTCTTTTGGAATAACATGAAAGAAACTATATCAGCAGTAATTAATTCTTGTGAAGCCTGTAAACAAATGAAATATGACCGAAAGCCTTTGAAACCATATTTACAGTTAACTCTAACGCAAGATGCCCCATTCCAGGAATTATTTATAGATATATTTAGTATCGAAGGAAAAACATACCTCACCTTAGTTTACGCTTTTAGAAAACTAAGACAGGCAATTGAAATTACTATCAAAGGCACACCTGACGTTATCCGCGCACTAATAAAATACTTTTCATTTTACGGCATACCTAAGAAAATAAGCTGCGACTCTGGTACTGAATTCAACAACGATCTATTGAAAGAAATGATGTCACTCTATAAAATCCAAATACATATCGGCACACCTAGGAACCCTAATTCAATGGGAATAGTTGAACGTTTTCATTCCACCTTAATTGAAATTTACAGACTGACAAAATACGAACAACAATGTACCGATGCCGCATCTATTATATCACTTATCATGGCATATAATAATGCGATTCATACTGTAACAACTTTAACACCGTTTGAAGTAGTGTTTGACCATGTAGATTCTGAAAACGCATTCAATATAGACTTCGAGAAACGATACTTGCAAAAATTAATTAAAGATCACGCCAAAAGAATAAAAGTTTTATACAAAATCATATCTGATAAAATGTTAACGTTTAAGGGAAAATCTAGAGAAAAACGCGGTGGCGAATCCGACGTCCCGTTGCCAGAAGGGAAAACAATTTTCACAAAATTAATAAACACTCGCAAAAGTAAGGACAAACGTTGTTTTGAAAAGGCCATAGTTACAGGAAAACCTGAAAGAAACACCATCCCTATTACAATTAGAGGTAAACACAAAAAGGTAAAAATTAAAAACATAAAACGACCTTCAAAGGTGGTGCTTAGTGATCATGATGACACTCACGAGCCCCAGCTTGGGCCTTCAACTTCAAAAGGTTGAAAACAATCCAGGGATCCGTAAGACAGGGAACAGCCTTCATCCAACAGGATAACTGGCTTATTTTTAAGGTATTAGATTTAAATGGCCTACTGATGGAATTATAATAAAACAAAAGGAAATATAGTAATTTTAGTAAGATAGTAACTGATGATAAGCCTTAGTTTAAAGATTTTTAGGAATAAGGGAACAAGTAGAGTATTTGGAAAGAATAACTACTAAAAAGATTAGGCAAATTATCCCTTCACACCGAGTACGAAGAGGAATATTGAATCCTCTAGGCTCTATTATTAAAATGATAACTGGAAACTTAGATCAGGAAGATGCTCAACGATATGAACAGTAAATTAATCAATTAGGTTATCAACAAAATTTCAACAAACAAGCGTTTAACAGTTGTTTCCAAAATGTTAGATGGACTCATTAATTCATCAGAAATATTACACAATAACTCAAAAATTATGGACGAAAGACTAAAACGTGTAGAAAAAAAATGTTAAAAGACATAAGTACTAAAGAAAATAATGCAGTATACTCTACATATTATGTTTTAAGTTTATATAATCTTTTTGTAAGTAATTTTAGAACGCTTTATATAAAAAATAAGCGAATTAGAAATTGCTTTGGCTTTCACCACAACCAATGTTTTACACATTTATTACAGATTTTAATTTATATATCACAGTCAGAAAATCTTATGTATCCACCCACTTGGGATAATTTAGTTAAATTAGAAGATACGATTAATGTTAAATCATACATGATAGACAGGAAAATAACTTTTGTATTAGAGGTAGCTTTAATAACCAATTCAACTTATAGTTATAATAAAATGTATCCCTTACCTATCTTTCATGACCCTAAAAACCTAACCTTAATAATCATTCCTAAATATCCCTATATCCTGGTGAAAGGTGTAACATACTTACCGCTTATACAGCCTTGCAAACAAGTCTCTGAGGAAAATTTATTATCTCTGCACACAAGAAAACAGGGGCACCGTATCCTGAAACGACATGCATTGAGGAGCTGATGACCTTCAAGGAAAACCCATCCAACTGTGACCAGAATACAGTAATTATAGAAGAGGTAAAGGTACAATAATAGTAATCAAATCATTATTCAAATAATTGCAAAAATGAGATAAGCCGAAACTCTATAAAGGGAACATAATATATCATTACTATAGATTAACCCTGCGATCTCAACATCAATGACATCCAATTACATCATCAGCGTTCATATACAGAAAATATGTCATCAGAACGTATCCCATCCATTAAGCTGCTGGAGTTACAGTCAACAGTGAACTCTAAGGAAAATCAGAATCCAGTAAACTTACAAGGAATGGAGCTCAGTGACCGGTAACACATGTCTTACATGCTGTAACAACTTAACAGAGATAGTGATAGTGAAATGGGCAATTCAGTGAAAGTGAAAAGCATTAGTTTAGGCACTTTTTTTATTGTATTTTGCTAATTGTTGTGTTTTTTATAAAAAATAAGATTAGTAATATGTTGCAGTGGCGAAATAATCAGAATTTGCATGTGCAATCCCCTGATAATTTCGCTCTTAAGGAGGGAGGAGTTATATAACCTCGTGTGTCACCACCATAATTATATTTTATATAAACAAAACCATTGCAACATAGTAGTACAAAGATCCTTTATATTTCAATAGCCGAAATGCTGTTACATGATTTACGAACCACTCTTAGTTCTTACTAAGTAACGTTTCCTTGTAGAGCGTGAGAACAATGTGTCAGCACAACGGTCACGTAGGCCTGTAAGAATAGGATATAAATATAATAGAACGCTTGTAATATACAGTATTAAACGGACCTCAAATCGGACCGGTTGTATTCATTTTAACTTTAAGTTTTTAAAAAACCCTTATTTCGCGGACCCACTACTTGACTATATGGATAACATGTAAAAAACTTGACACTTGTCAGTGTTTACAAGCATGTTGCGTCACAGTGCGACGCCATCTTGAAATTATGAATGTATTATAATATTGTGATACATTGTATAGGTTCTATAGTCTGATATATCTGAAATGGTTGTTGATGTCTTCAGAATAACGGTCTCTCGAAGGAGGCATCGTCGGCGGACACGCAAGGATGGCTGAACCGGCACCGTTTCGCCCAACACGCGGCTACGTTTAGCAACTTTTGCGGGGCCGATCTGTTGCGGTGAGTGTTTTGGGGTATGGGCCAAGTAGACAAGAATTTAGATATGGGAAATGGAATAAATTGAATTTACTTTTTGAGTGTTGTGAGAAATCTGTCCTGCCATAATTGGAGTATGGGACTGAGTGGGGTGTTGGACATGTAATTGTGTAAGGTTAGATATGCCCCAGAATGGGGAATGGGATATCGCATATAAATGTTTATATAAGTAAGACTTTGAGCGTCGTGAGAAATGTGTCATTATAGGGGTATGGGACATGTTTTAAGAACAAAATTCGTTCATATACTATTCGGGAGTTTAGTAAGAAAGTTGGGGTATGGGATATGTAATTGTGTGAAATTAGACATTATATCATAGGAAATGGGACATATTAAATTAGTTTTAATTGACTTTTTGTCAGTGTTGTAAGAAATGTGTTCCGTCATTATTGGGGTATGGGGCATAGGACTTAGTGGTGTGCGGGTGTTGTTTTAATAACTTGTTTGTTCATGTATGTACTATTTTTGGAGCTTGGTAAGAAATACTTAAAAAACAGTTGAGGTATGGGACATAATTAATTTTATCTTTACAGTCTCTCTCGGGACGATATAATACAAATTTGCGGGCTTGCTGATGGTATACGACTATACAACGCTCTTCATGCGAAGTGAGTATTTAAAAATATATCGAACAGATATATAATAATCATTTGACCATGCATATTGACCCTGCATTACATATATTTATTAGTCATGCAGAGTCATCAATTGTCAATGTCAGTCAATGGTGCAAGTACTTATTGCACATGAAAGTCACTAGTTATTGAAGTGAATGCCAGACGAAGTTGTTTTAACATTAGGACCTGTTTGGTCACGTGACGTCCTCGTGTCCTATTGTGACCTGCGCATGGGCATTGTATTGCATTGTAGCAGGTTAATAAGTTAGTTAATCTTTTGTCACTATCGTCACTTTTGAATCATGAAATGCAAAAATTCATGATCACAGTGCAAAAATTTTGCATTGTCACAATAAAACGAATTCAAATCTAATTTGCAGAGTCACTCAATATTAACAATGTTGTTTTTTGTAGACGCATCGAACCACGCCTAACAGTATACGTATGCGCTAGTGGTTCGAATATATACAGCGCGTTGTACCTCGACGCGTGCGCCGCCAGCGAATTGCTCATCAAGCTGCAAGGGCTTTTGCACAGTGCTGCCGCCAAGGTAACAATTGACCGACTTATTTTTATCCAGTAGGCTCGCCAGTGCGTTGCCGGCCTTTTAAGAATTGGTACGCTCTTTTTTTTAACGACCCTAAGTGGAATTGGTTCAGTAGTTTTTGAGATATGGATTTATTTCGCGGATTTAGTTATTTATTATTTATATTCAAAAGTATTAGAAGTTATATAATAACGCCATTATCGGACCCGTCGACATAGTTTTTAAGCACCTGAACCCTGAGGTCGTAGGTTCCCCGTTAGTTTATATTTTTTATGCCGTATGTAACGAGTCATTTTTTTTATTGACACTGAACATCTAGCTTAGTAAATATATTTATTTTTTTCAGGAATGCGACACAGTACTTGTGTCGGGACCGAACGGCGCAAGAGTACGTTTAACGGACGAACTCGTACGACATCTCCCGGATTCGTCCACTTATAAACTCGAACATGTCGAAAACTCGCTTCTACTTAGTCCAACTAACTAAAATCGTGTTGAAATGTCGCGGTAATCATTATTACAGGATATTACTGAGATGTTCGAAAATAACTTAACGGTAATAGCAGAAATATTACGGCAAAACTATTGTAGCGTCAGTGGTAATCATTATTACCGGATATTTATGATTTGAAAATTACTTAATTTTACGGTAATAGCAGGAATATTACTATTGTAATGTAGTTATTAAAAATATTTGGACTATTTTCATAGTATTGCATATATATATTGTATTACTGCGAATACAATGTTATTACTGTAATGTTACTTGATGAATTACCTTGCGACATACGTAATAAATGTCAAATTCATTTTGGATATTATTATTCCAACTATTTACAGGCGTCTCTGTCATACCCGATATGAAGGAAAGAGACGGCTATACATGGATAGTTAAGTGATTGTTTTAACTCATAAATTGTTATTTTTAAGTATGTATTTTAAAATTAATAATCACCTCAATTTATGGACAATTCTCACACGTCAAGATTAAATGTCATTTTTGACACAAGACTAAAAATCCTTAATATATTAAGAATTTTTAGTCTTGTGTCAAAAAATTTGTTTTTTTTACGAACGTGACCTTTTCCACTCAAGAATTGTGACAGAAACGACAAATGACGGAATAACTTGTCATCTGTCAACCTTTTAGAAATGTCTTTTTCGGACTTCATAAGTTCAGTCATAATGTTTGCGCTAGAAAGTCAACTACAACTGTTACAAACTATCCAATTGAGTCAAAGTTATCAAAAATCCTAGAAATGTCAACGGGCGAAGGAAAAATACGAATTGTGTCGACACGAGTCCGCGATTTCGTATTTTACCATTTTATTAAGCTGTCCAATTGAGTAAATGTCATTTGTCAGTTTCCAGCTGTCAGCTGTAAAATTGTGTCAATATAAAGAAGTGAGGAATTATCCATGATTGTTTTTTTATTACTGAAAATTGTTTTACTTTCTGGGGACCAGTCTTCAATTAGTTTTTAAGTTAATTAAGGTATATTATAAATCTTTTTGTTTTTTTAGAAATATAAAAAATATACAATATCTAGTATTGTACAATGGAGATTAGAAAAATATGATGGGTTACCCATCATATTACTTGTGTCTTAACCTTGTTAATAAATATGAAGAAAATTTATCTTTAAGTTACGAATTGTTTAAAATGTAGAAACTGGGACCAACTTACGTTTGGTTTACTGGAGTATATTAAACAATTTATTCGGTGTTATTATTGTGTTAAGGTATTTAGGAAGATTGTGCCTGGAATTGTGGAACTAGCGATTCCAATGATTCCTTGGCTAAATTAGAGAGGCGACACTTTAGTTGTTGTGTAGTAACAAAAAAATGTGTACACACGTAAGAAGTGAAACCTCTTTATGATCTTATTTTTCGAAAAATTATCTACAATATGCAACTTTACAGAAATTGTTTATATAAAGTTAACTTAAATAAAGTTTAACAAAAAGCTTTTATTATTATAGACATGAAAACAAATAATACAATTATTTAATTTTACCTTATTACTACTAAGATTATTACAGAATTTCATTAATTGTAATAGAATTATTCCTATCGTTATTATATATTGTTGTTTTTAATATAAATTTTATACATTTTATGAACGCACTACACGGTTTTTGACATAAATAATAATGATTTAAAAGCATAATTTCTATTTATAACTAAACATAATATAACTGCAATATTAATTAAATATAACGTAAAAATTGTCCAATATAAATAACAGTACGTTGCGGTAAGCCTGAAGTTAGTTTTCAGAGGTAGCCAAACTTTACAAACAACAAATCTTGCAACTAATCAATAAACTGGATCCGAAATCGCTGGACAAGAAAAAGATGGCGCGTAACGGAAAAATGTGACGCGTATGCGTACGTAAATTTTTTTCCAACGTCGGTAAAGAAGTTTCACTTCAGAAATGAGGGTAGGTTAAAGAAATTTCAAAAAATGTGGGTACTTTAAATTTTTGAAAGTAATCGGTTAATATCGTCCGCACCAGAGCTCCAGAAATAGAACTCAAGGAGACCTTCAAAATCCTTTGGCCTTTACAAGTTGAAACACGACGCTTAAGTTAGCTAATGCTAAACATAGATGGCGTTGTATTAAATTTTAATTCGTTAAGAAATAGTTTTGTAATTTTAATATAATATTTTTAATGTTCAGAAGCGTTTAAGTACGGAACGCATTTGGGGATTTTCATCCCCCCTGCCCCCCATGAACGCCCCACCTTTAGTAATACGCTACGTTATTAATAACAACGTTAACGAGCCGTTCAAAATACCCCCACCACGACCCGACAACGACATTACAATTGTAATGTCGTGTACACTGCACGGAATCTTTTCGGTTATTGTTCCGAACCAATTCGATTTTTTGCAAGAACGCCCCTCCCCCTTTCCTCCATTAGTTACGTAATACTTGATGACAATCATTTCTTTCAAATAGCTACATCTATGTTTAACATTAGCTAACTTACGCGTCGTGTTTCCACTTTTAAAGGCCCAAGGATTTAGAAGGTCTTCTTGGGTTCCACCAGTACGAGAATTAGTGTTTCTGGAGTTTTGGTGCCGACGATATTAACCGATTACTTTAAAATACGCTACCCACATTTGTTGTAATTTTCTAAACTTCCCACATTTTTGTTTACATTTATCTAAGTGTTCCTAGAATTTACTAATTGTTGCCTACTATAGTTTGTATGTTAAGTGTATGTTATATTGCAAGCGGTGCATATATTAGATAATAATAGTGGAATAAGCATATCAGATCGTTCTAAATAACGACCAGATACGCTGTTGGCACGAGTAGTGCTTTATGTGTGTCAACATGTCGACAGTCAAATAGGCTTGGGGCACTATAAGTGTTTTTAAAGCCTATATGACCCATTTGTTAGAATACTTTACGGTTAGATGAGCTTATAGCACCTTAAGCCTTAAGTAAGTGTTTGTCTATAATTTGATTCTCGATAGTCAAATAAGATTGGGCTATTATGCCATAATATTTAAAGTGGAAGGAGAGGTGTGGCACTATAGTGTTAGATCACGCATGCGCGTTGCGATCCGGAGTATTAATGTTTTAATTTATAAGTAATACATGTATTTTGTGAAATAAATAAATTTGTATGTTATTGTTTTCTTTATAACTGACACTTCCTTTAAAAATAAGTTATTTTGGACTAGACACAGTTGTCTAAAGCGTTAGACCTAATCAGGCAGGCTAATCACCTACTTGCCTCATGAAACAGACATAGGACCCAGACCTAAATGGTTGTAATTTAACACCCTACTCACAGTCTCTCATGGCTTGCGAGTGCGTTGCTGGTCTTTTACAATTGGTACGCTCTTTTCTTGAAAAACCCTAAGTTGAACTCGTATTATTGTGAGCGTCAGAATGGCGGGTCACTAGTCGTGTATAAGGTTAAAATGTCGTTTAAAAATTACTTCCCAATTGCTTCTATTTAATTCCTACTACAAGACAATTGCTTCCTTAGTATCTTGGGAGAACCACAACAATGACAACACAAAATGACATTTAATCTTGACGTGTGAAGAATTGTCATCAATTTTAGTGACTTAGCGCCTGGTAAAAATATACAGGCAAAAAGTACTTGGCTATAATAAGTTTATTTATATAGTTAGGGGTTCTATATTAATATAAGTAACCTACCTACCTATATTAATATAAACTTATTTTAGCCAAATATTTTATGCCTTGTAACAACATTGTTGTGGTCACTAAAATTGTTGTGGTTCTCCCAAGATACTAAGGAAGCAATTGCCTTGTAGTAGGAATTAAATAGAAGCAATTGGGTAGTATTTTTTAAACGACATTTTAACCTTATACACGACTAGTGACCCGCTCTATTCTGACGCTCAGCGTCGTGTCAGGCACAGAAAGGAACCTACTTGCCTATTAGAAATGATTGAGGAACAAATACAGAAATCTGAGGCCTGGACCTAAAAAAGTTCGCCACTGATTTATTTATTTTACTTATGTATCTATATTTTTCTGTTTGGGTGACCCAACTGGCAATTGCCTAAAGAGCAATGAGGGAGGTGAGCCTCCTGCCTTGTTTGCCCCCTGTTCTATAAAATCCAGTTTTTGGCTCACAAAGGTAATCGAGCTAACCGCAAAAATTATTATTTTTAATTAGTCATTTATTTTACACACACAACACACGTCTCTTGGTACCTCTGCATTACTGAAGGTAATCGTAGCCGACTGTCTCGTGAAGAGTGTCTTGTTCTTTGCCAGATGCAGCAATTCTTCGGCAGTCTTACCCGTCCACCCATACCTATTTAAAATTGAAGATGGTAGCGGTCTTAGCTCAATACCAAGGCACGCACACACACACAATTTTTACCGTGTATTTTTGCAATACATACCTGATATTAGGGCTAACAGCATGCTGTTAGGGCTCCCAAGAGTTAAGCTACGGTTTCCTAGAAAAGCGGTGCCGTTAACTAACGGCCGTCTATACTTTTTAACATAATGCAAAAAGACATCATTTTCGCTCGTCCTAGTCACGATTCCACTCATTGTGTCACTCATTTAATATGGGCACCGTTACATGCGAAAAACGTTGAACTAATGTTTATCACCACTATGACGGCAAATGAAAGCACCGTTATTGACGTTACGGTGACACTCCACGTTCTCTAGGAAACCTACTCCGATGTTATTTATAGACAACGTATGGGTGACGTCACCCAACGCTACATTACGGATAACGGCACCGCTTTTCTAGGAAACCTAAGCTTTATTGGAAAAATTGAAATAAAACAACGATGTTCTTAAAATATATATTATAACTTTACAAGGCACATTTATCTTAATACTGTTACTTTTGTAACGAACGATTAATAAGTAGATGAAATTTCCGTCAAATGTGATGTACAATTAAATAACTTAAATTATTAACTTAAATAAATATTTGTGCATAACTTAAGTGTAACGAAACCTCAAAACGCCAATTCCCAGTTCTGTCAATGTCAATTCTACACTTTTGACAGCTCCAATGCAAAAATATGGAAACTCTAGACTATTTGTATTGTTCTTCGTCTCTTTCTACGAAATTGGGTTTACTCTGTGATGAAAAGAGATAACGTTTTGTTATAATGACCCCAGGTCTTTAGGGTAATTCCTGTGTAAGATATATTGGCAGGTTTTCCAAAGTATCAAAAAACGTTACTAAAACTTAAATCTTTACAGAGCTGTCAGTATTTTTTACTATTTCCTTAAAGCTTCTGTGACCTTTTGGAATTAGCCTTAATGCTCCAATATCCTCTTAGATAGATATTCATTTTATTAATTGGGGCATGTGGGGCAAGGCACTTTACAAACTTTGACAAGATTAGATTTCACATAAAATTCGGGTTGTTAACAACTGCATATTGAAAGCGACTAAACTGTCAAAGTATGACGTATAATTAATAAATAATAGAATTATTATTATAAGACCACAGATTAGGCATTATTAAACAAGGTTTCATTACGATCAATGGAATTAAAAGGAATGTAAAATCTCTGTATATTATGCTCTTATACATATCTGATGGCAGAGAATTTTCGTTTCAAATACAAAATGGCGGCACACTCGCTGGCACTGGCCTTGCGAGTGTGATTGTTTGCGTCACCTTGTCACACATATAATAGTAAAATTTATAAATATAATGACACCACAATTTGTGGAGTATAAAATAATATATTTACAAAAATAAAAGCACTTTCCGGAGAAATGGAATGAAAACAAATGCGAAAACCATTGACAATAATAAATTGAACGATAAACTTATGGACACAGCTCGATTAGGGACTCCATTCGAGGCGAATCAAATCAAATAAAATTGTATTATATCTAAACATTTTAGCAAAAATACATATTTTGTTCTAATTATAAATTTATTTTTAATGTAATAAGTATGGGTAACACTTTCTAAACATTTGCCTTAGTCTCGCTAAGGCAAGTGTGTTTAGACAGTTATCAAAACGTCAATATTGATGTTTAAATTCGGTGTGTACAAAACTATAGGCGTCTGGTAAAAATTAATTTTATAATATAAGGCAAGGCAATGTTATAAGGCAAGCCCTGTTAATTTTAAAGTGTTATTATTATACCTAAAAATTCACGTAAAAATATTTAAAAAAATATATATATTTTATAGATGCTATGTTAATGCGCAATCAAAATATTAAAATCATATTAAAAATACAATATTTGCTAGAGAACTGTCAAACAGTCAACTTGTCAAACTTGATATTTCACAACTGACTCGACTCAAAGATGAACGTTTAGAAACTGTCAAACAGACAAAATAAAAATTGATTTTTGACAACTGACTCGGGTGACGGCTCTCAAATACCGTTGTGTTGCCAGTTTTTGTACAAAACTCCACACATTTCGGTATTTTTTAAAAAAAACAGTAGTTGTAGGCAAACTTTTGACAGTACAAATGTCATTTACAGATTATATTAAACAAATATTAATGGACATGGCAAGGTAGCATACAAATAACAATGACGACAATAGCGGCTTAAGGCAGGTATTAATGGTACTAGTTCCAACCCCACTTTAAATTCAGGAATATCAAGTTTATAGTAGGACCTGTAGTTTCGAAGTTTCATCACCAAGTAGCTTAAAACAATACAAATTGATAAAATACTCGAAAAATAAAATTTGACTTTAAAATGGATTAAAAATTGTAAAAAATCCTCAAAATATATTGATTTTTATAAGTCACGTGACACCAAACGGTTATAGATTAGTCTATTGTCATCCTATCAAATCCTAAGAGCAACTCTTCGTTACAACAAATTTAATCTGAAGGCAACGGGGTTATTGCTAACAAGCGATTTCTTTAAGGGGAATACTAAGGGGCAACAAGAACTGCGTTTCGTTTTTACATGTACCTATATAAAACTCATCGATAGTGTTATTGAGTGTTACAAAACATAGCTTTAATCATTATGGAGATATAGCCAATTATATCAAAAAATATATTTAAATGTCACGTGACACAATACGACCAGTTTAGTCAAAGTTGAAATAATGTATCTTTTTCTGTCGCATCCTAACAGTGTCTTTGAGTTAGAGACTGTATTTCGAAGTGTTTACAAGCATGTTGCGTCACAGGGACGCCATCATGCCAAGAAGACTATTGTTGATCGAAAAGTGTAAAATAATGTCAATTATGTGAAAAACTTGACGTTCACGTGTTTACAAGCATGTAACGTTACGTTCTTGCTATAAATGTTTAATTTAAATGATTGAATCCAATTATAAATATTGTTATTAATATGTCAAATAGTCCATTATAGTAAAAAAATATGTCTGCGTCTATAAAATAACGCGATTACCTCGAAAACTACTGAACCGATTGTCGTATAGTCAACACTAATAGTTAGGGTTATTCCTGAAGAAGGTTTTATTATTAAAAACGGTTATATATAATTTGAAATATATCGGTTCAAAGTCGGGGTCAGAAGCTAGTACAAGGGAACAAGATTATTACAAATATCGTAATGTTTTATTAAAAATATAATAAAATTTATAAATCGCCTTCAAGCAATTAACAGTTTAATTGGGGTAATTTGGGGCAAGTTCGACGTAGTTAGCTGGCAACATACCAGTGTGGCCAGTTCTTAACACTTGACCTGTCATCCATCCCTCGTCTATGGACGTGACATTTGAAATAAGGTCACCCTCGCGGAATGATACCTGTAATAAAAAAGTATTATTTATTCCAAGCAAACGCTAAATTTCGTGTATGTATGTTTCTCCACAATCTTCAGTAATATAATTAAATTGGGTCCAACTTTCAAGTGCTGAACCACGTTATATTACGACAGTATGGTCCTAGCACAACATACCTTACATTCAATCAGTGTGGTAAGAGCGTAATGGAATACAATTTAAATTCAAAATTAGAACAATTAAAGACCTTCGGCCGAGTATATAAGCTTGTTTTTCCACACAATTAGTCATTCGGATTTCGGGCTGCGCGCTGCGAGTGGAGACCTTATAGCAGGAAGCGAACCACCTAATGGCCAATGCCCCTTTGCATTGCCCAGAACGGGTCTAAGCACACCCTTTACGAGGGAGGGTGCAGCAGATGGACCACGGAACAATAGGTCAGTCTTAATATGACTACAAGACCAAGAGAAGGACTTAGGGTCCTTCAAGAAAAGACTGTACCACTTCTTAAAGGCCGGCAACGCATTTGCGAGCCTTCTGGCCATGTGACTGTTCATGGGCGGCGGTATCACTTAATAGCAAGTGAGCGTCCTGCCCGTTTTCCCCCCGTTATATATAACGGCCCCTGTATTGTGTCTTGTATGTATATATATAATATATGTAAAAAAATATGTTAGTAATTTTATTCCTTGAGCTCTGAAGGATTTATGTATACAAAAAATTTGAAAAGTATAAAAAAAATTACCTCATCGCTATCATTAGCTTCGTAGTCATACATCGCTACGTAGACTCGCTGAAACAACATATTAAAAATTATTTCTTTTGGCTAGGCACTAATTTGCTCAAAGCTTATTTAAATTTGGAACAATTTTTTTTATTAAATTAGGTTGTTCGTTTGATTAGTCAGATCTAAGGGCTCCCACACAAAACTGCGATGCGATGCGATGCGAATTTCTGCGATACGATTTAGTGAGACAAACCGTTTGGTAGGGCGACCATTCCTTCGTAGTCAGCCGTACTGGACGTGTTTTAAGGAAGCGTAAGATGGATCGCAAAAAGAATATTGCACTGCTGTTATTGTTAAATAGATATAAAAGAAAAAGAAGATTCTGGGTTCATCCATTCATTACGATTATGAATGGGAACTATTTTATTCAAAAGTACTATGCGTTGAGAACTGAAGAAGATAATTTTTTGATTATTTTAGAATGAGCATATCTTCATTTGAAGAGCTTTTGAGTTTATTATCACCATGCCTTCAAAAACGATCGTACAAGGGGAGAATTTATTATAATTTATTTTTTATAATGTTCATCACTTATGTCCGAAAGGACGAGACGCTCGTCAATTAAAGATATTACAAAATCTATATCATATTCCGCCATTTTTTTTAAAACAAAAAAGGCGCGCGTCTTTCTATAAGCTGTCTCAGAGCGGACTAAAATGGCGTCACCAAGGATGACGTAACATCGCAGGAATTTGCGATGCGAAGAAGATCGGAAATTCTTGCGGTGCGTTCGTGCGAATTCGCAGATATTTGCGATGCTATGCGAATTCGCGGTTTTGTGTGGGAGCGCTAATGTATTTTAAATTTGGAATATTATTTGAATAAATTGGTTATGTGCTAATTGCTCAGGACTACTAATGTTTATTATTTTAAATTTGGAACAAAAATTCGATTAGAAAGATAGAAATATATCAGCTAAATTGCACTTAAAGCATGTGCTACACGGTATGAAACGGCGGTTTGAAACTTTGGTTTCAAACCGTGTGGATAGTTGTTTTATGCCAAATTTCGTTTAACCTTGATATGACCTTGGCAGCACGCTTTGCGTTGCAAACCGCGACCAAAACTGTTGGTTTGAAACAGTCTAGCCGCTTGTTTAAAACCACGCGTTCGGCAGTCGTGATGCGGCGGCGAGCGTAGAAGCACGCGACGACGACGTTCTGCACAATGGCACAAGAAGCAAGTGAACGTGAAGTTATTACCGAATTGCTCGAATTATACAGAGAAATGCCATGTCTTTGGGATTTATCATGCGAGTCATATTAAAGACTCGACTCAGAAAAAAAAATGCGTGGGATATTTTAGCCGAAAAATTAAAAGTTATAGACCCAACTTTTTGTTGTTTACTTAGGCAAGGCGCCATGATGTCGTTGTAATTAATTCTGAAAGTGCGTCAGGTACGGGAGCGCGGAGACGTCTTATCAGCGCAACGTTATTTTGGACACTGTTTGTTTTAAACCGTGTAGCCGAAAAGCGCAACTCGCTTTTATTTCGTTTCAAACCGCCGTTTCATACCGTGTAGCACATGCTTAAAAGTTCCGTATCAAAGTATTTAAATATACTAATAAAATAGGCAAAGTTCTCAAATCTATAGGCAATAAATGGATAAAAAATACACTTTTGCATCCATCTTCGACTTATAATAACACAAGAATATCTAATACTAAACTGACTTAAAATTCTCAAGTAATAAAAAAATTACTTGACTTCGAAATTACAAATGGGATTTTAAACGCAATTATTACTCTCGCCTTATTAGCGAGACCTGAGACCCAGGTTCGATTCTCGCTTTCCTTGCTGAAAATTTTATACCAACCTGATTGTGATGATTAGCTGGTCTGTGTGACTGATGCGTGACCTGTGATTGGTGATGCTCATTCGCGAGTGGATCCATATCTGTGACGCGCCCTATGTTGCGGGTCTGTTGTTGGACTTGCTGTGTTCCTGAAATTATAACACTGTAAGTATGCAGCTTTAGATACTTGACACATACCGGTTGGAATATGACAGTTGACAGATACCAGTTGGCCCTAATTTGACCGATGATATTAATGTCTTGGACAATGTTGCACCGTTATTACCAAAATTAATATGACAGATACACAAAGACAGCTATACAAACATTAACTGTCAACTGTCATCTGTCAAGTGCAAATAAAGTCATAACCATTAAAATTATGTATATACCAGCTTAGCAAACATCATTTCTTAGCTGTTATTTGTCACCTATCGTCTATCGGCTGTCATCTATCACCTATCAGCTGCAATCTATCACCTATAAACTGTCATCCTATCAGTTGTCATCTATCACCTATAATCTGTAATATTTCATAGATCAGCTGTCAACTGACTAATTTATCAAAATTTATCCCTTAATATATGTTACAACTATGATTTTTATTGAATTTTTTATATTTTCAAGAAAGTTGAAGTTTTCACTTGCTATATCCCCTTTTTCCTTCAACTGGCCTTGGACACCTAATAAAGGTAGATATATAAATTTCTTTAAAGTTTTTTTTAATTATATACAAAAATTCCCCAAACACACAACACAATGATTTGTGCAATGATATATGAACATCAAGAAGCCAATTAATTTCTAGTATATGATTCTAAATGGGAATTATTTTATTTGTGAGAATTTTTTTTTGGAATAAGTGATTTCTTTAAAATGTTCTTAATTTTATTGACATGACATGCAGTGACCATGCAATGATCAAACATACTAAAGGGAAACGTCGCAAGTTTTATAAATTTAAAATTCCAAATGATTCTTAAGCAAATTTTCATATTGTCTATATTTAATATTCGAAATTCAAAATAATATAAAAACAAAAATCACAATTCCATATTCAAAATACACTATATTTTTTTTATGGCTCTGCCACGGTTTGTGCATTAGCCAGCGTCAAGTATAAGATTTTTATAATTCGTGCTTTGCCTTAGAAATTCGACCACGTCCTCCATGTACGGTTTAAGCACTCGCCCGGTACCGCACAACCCTCCCAAAGGCCGAGAACAAATTTAAATTAAATTAAAACTTGCCCTCGAACCGGGACTCGAACCCGGTACCCCTCACCTAGCTGTTTACACTATTTTATAAACAAAACTAATATTCGAAATTCAAATCACACAAAAATCACTATTCCAAATTCAAATTTTATAAACATAATGCAATTGAATTTATAATACCAAAAAATAATTCCCACGCAACCTCACCTCTCTTATCACTGGAGCTGTTATAAATCAAAGTAGCCGACGCCCGCTGAGTGTTGGGCGGCGCCCGCGGCCCATCGCTCAACGGGTCATAATCTTGAATCCTACCAATTTTCGAGCCATAATTCGATTGCGACGCCAACTCCTCATATTGCGGGTAGTTGTAAATCTCCTTGTACTCTTGGCGTGCTGGCGTTTGGTAATGATTTTTCGGCGGTAGATTTGGAAGCATCTCCGTTGCGTACGAGTCGATTTGATGTTGATAATCGTTTGTTGCGAGATCTAGTTAGCACAAACATAAACCAATGTTCAGTTGCGTTTTAACGGACCGTTAAACATGCTTAACCAAGTTAATTTTTGTTCCTGCCTTCATATTTATAAGTATACGTAAATATTTTATTATATCACAAGTCTTTCTGAACATCAGTTTATGCTAAACACAAAACATATAAACACATATTGCAACATACAAATTATGATATACATAGAACAAATAAATTACTACCCTCCTTTTAACAGAATTTTTTGTTAGTAAAATAAAAACTGTGTACAAAAAGGTAGGCTTTTCAGAAGCATGGTTTTCTACCAGTTCCCAAATCAAGGGCTCAGTGGTAACAACTCAAAGTTTTTCCCCATTACCCCACCAGCTCTGTTCTATTTACGTCATAATTGGTATATTTCAAATATCCATCCACCAACAAAATGATGTGAAATCTGTGCAGTTATGAGTAGCAACAAAAATTTAAATAATAGTAGCGCTACAACTCTAAATGAGACCCATTTAGAGCCCCATGCTGACTCCATCATTCTCTAACATCCATATTATAAGCAAGTAGCAGATCAGCCTTTGTCTGATTGGGTCTAATGTATTAAGATGTATTTGCTACATCCTTTTAGGTCTGGGTCTTACGTATCTCTCTCATGAGGCAAGTAGGAGATCAGCCTTTTGATATTTTCTTTATGTGTTATTGATTTCGGTAATACAGGGTGTCCCAAAAGTTGACGTCAACTCGAAATTTTCTCATAGGTAATGCCACACCAGTTATCAGAAAAAAAAAAATTAAGTCATGTATTTTTGAAGTTATGGAAATTTTCCTTTTATTCCAGAAAATGTACACCATGTGACAGTTTTTTCATTCCTATTGTTACAAATATTTACTTTTTGCCAATTTTTTTCTCTTACGTCATCCCGAATAGTGCTTTATGTAACCTATGATCCTAAACCCTGTGCCGATCACTCCAACTTGTAGGAAAATGTCATTTTATACCGTACCAAGTTTTCAAAATTAATTTTTCGCACTAGTTCAACTGATCGTCCTGAAAAAAAATGTACTACTCCAGTTTGGCAAGCAGCTTTAAAAGTTCGCGCATTTAATAAGGATTCTAACGTGGTATAATACTTACTTCATTATTTCTTAGATCGGCCATAAAAAATTTTTTTGTTAAACAAAGTCTGTGTAAAAAAAAGTAGTGTTTTTTAAAAATTTCTCTGGAATTACAAAACACGATTCTAGTGTACCCAAAGCGTTCCTAATAACCACAGCGTGGTTTAAATAAGGTGGCGTAAAGTGTGAGCGAGACAGATAGTGACGCTTCTTATTGCTATTGACACACGCACTACAGGTCAGTACGCAACGCTCCTTCGTTTACTACGCATCTTTTCGTATTCGCTGGTGTTATTTTGTGTTCTAACTACTTTGGCTTCGTTTACGGACTTGTTTGCTTGTGATTTGGATTTTACATTTGTGATCTACGACGACCTTTACTTTTCCCTGGACTTACGTGTTATTGTGTATTTGTACCATACCATGGCTACGTACACTACACAGGAATATGCTAACATGCACCTCATTTATGGGGAATGTTTATGTAATGCCAGTGAAGCCGCTAGACGGTATCGCGAGAGATACCCTAATGCAGATCGCTATCCGGATCACAGAGTTTTTACCAATGTGCACCGTCTACTGTTCTCTGAGGGCCAACTGCCAAACCAAGTGCATGGTGAAGGTAGAATTTCACTACCCTACGAGGCAGTTGTCCTTCAAGCAGTTGATGAGGACCCAAGTTGTTCGGTACGTGGAATTGAGGCCAGCACAGGTGTGCCCAAAAGTACAGCTCACCGAATACTACAAAAAAATAAACGGAAGCAGTAGAATTTGTGAATAATGGACGATTTGCCCGCTTCATTTCACGATCTTTTTTAAGGAGATGTCGAGCCTGTATTGCAGCTGAAGGACGGCAATTTGAACATCTTTTATAAAAAAAGTAATAAATCTAATCATAAAAAAGAAACTGTCTATTTTACTTATTTGCGTCCGTATGTCATAAGCGTCACTATCTGTCTCGCTCACATTTTATGGAATGTCTCTCTCCATCTTATTTAAACCACGCTGTGGTCATTAGGAACGTTTTGGGTGCGCTAGAATCATTTGTTGTAATTTCAAAGAGATTGTTAAAAACAGACTTTGTTTAACAAAAAAAAATTCTTATGGCCGATCTAAGAAATAATGGACTCCGTGTTATACCACGTTAGAATCCTTATTAAATGCGCTAACTTTTAAAGCTACTTGCCAAACTGGAGTAATACATTTTTTTTTCAGGTTGAAGTAGTGCGTTAATTAATTTTGAAAACTTGGTACGGTATAAAATGACATTTTCCTAAAAGTTGGAGTGATCAGCACAGAGTTTAGGATCATAGGTTACATAAAACACTATTCGGGATGACGTAAGAGAAAAAAAATTGGCAAAAAGTTAATATTTGTAACAACAGGAATGAAAAAACTGTCACATGGTGTGCATTTTCTGGAATAACAAAAAAATATCCATAACTTCAAAAATACATGACTTATTTAATTTTTTTTAATTTTTCTGATAACTGGTGTGGCATTACCTATGAGAAAATTTCGACTTGACGTCGACTTTTGGGACACCCTGTATATATATATATTGTTTTATATAAGTGACTAGATATAGGGGAAGGACCAAGGAATGAGAAGAGGGCGGCCTAAAGTTGGATAGAAGATATAGAAGCGTTAGAAGGAAGGGAATGCCCCATGTAGGGGTTTTGATTGGTACTTAAGAACGTTAGGCTATCGAGTAATATATATGAATATCCTATTCAACATTTGTAAAGTCTTTATAATTATTATTGTAAGACATTTAAATTGAACAAATGAAACGCGAATCTAAGACCCCTGTAGAGTTGCAACGCTATTTATTTATGCCTGATGAAGGTCTGTACAGTCCCTCTTTAAATAGTGAAAATATGTGATAAACGCTTAGTTTTACCCTTTAAAATCATTTTATTATATTTTGGTTTGTCCGTTAACTTGTTAACCCAAATACGATAACGCATCGAAGTCGGGTTCACAAAATGTCTCCAAAAAACCCAAAACTGTAGACATATGGACTAAGCCGAATTTTAGCATTAAAGTACCCTCAAATTATTTAATACTCACCAACAATTTCGCCATTTTCATTAATCTGCCTCTGCCTCTCCATCTGGGCCTTCTTTTCCAATTCACCGTGGTACGCAACGTTACTTATAATCTTCGTATTCGCTTTAATTCTTAAAGTTTCGGGGTCATCCGCTACCTAAAATATACAAATAGTCAAATACCCTCAAAATTTTTTGAACATCAGTATTCGGCCTATTATCCAAATTTAAGTCAGTCTCCGATTAGGCACTGTCAAACTTCATATAGAAAAATGGTTAAACAGGTCCAGGAGACTTTCCTGAGCCGGCCTAGCTAGTAGTAGGTCGGCCTAGGGGCTGGATCGACAAAGGACCTGCTATAGCTGAAGGCCGCCAATTATGAGGTGGCAAAGCCAAGGAGCGCTGGAAGATTCTCATTTCGGAGGCCAAGACACTTTTTGGGTCGCAGAACCAGCGGAGTGAGTAAGTAGGACGGCCTAAGTTTTCGGTCTCCTCTCAGTGTAACTCCCATTCACTGCAGTCAAGCAGCATTATTTATATATTTACACCTATTTCCCTAAGGGGTAGGCAAAGAACATGGCTCTCCACTTGTTACAGTCCTGACACACCTCTCTAGCTTCATCTACTTTCATAACTTTCACCGTGCTTGTCAGGCTTTCAGGGTACGTTTTCTTGTCCCCTTTTGTATCTCCTGGATTTGGTCCGACAAGGCGTACCCAAATGGGACTTCACCATTGTTGCTTTGTATATCCTACTTATTAACCACTCCTCATTCATCCATCTAAACCAAACCACCTAAGCATTCCCTTTAGTATCCATGTCTTCTCCTGTTTTAACCCTCACTGCTCACGTATCTCACTATTAACTATCCTAATCATATTATTAATATATATCCGAATTATCCTATAATACATTTATGAAATTATCATGATAATTATCGTGGTTTCCAAACCATGCTCCTGAGTCTCGGATCGTTTTAGGACGTTTGGATAGAAGTCTCCTACCAATCTTGGACTCACCTGTGTAAATTTCCCCTTGCTTTTCTCGAAATCGGCATGATAATTGACATTACTCTGCAATCTCGTGTTTTCAGCTATCCGCCTGAGCTCTGGAGTTTCCGCCATGGTCGTATGTTTCGCTTTTGGAACATGTCTGCAAAAAAGTAAACAAAGTAAATGACAAGTATTCCGCATACAAATAAAAACAGTTTGACAGTAATAACTTAATGTTACAGCTATGTAGAAGTATAGTGTTGGCCTAGGTTTGAACCCCAGGTATGCACCAATTACGTCTCTGTTATTAACATTCGTACGAAAGAAAACATCGGCATTAGAACCAAAAAGACGAATTGTTTATGTACATTATGTTAAATTTACTTAGCAATAAAAATACCAGTGGCGCTACAGCCTTTTAGTTCTGGGTCCTATGTATCTGTTTCACGAGGCAAGGAGGTGATCAGCCTTTGCCTGAATGGATGCCGGTATTACGATGATTACGCTAAGCCGGGGCTATGACCTCAGGGACGAGAGTCTCACGCTGAAGTCACTAGACCAAAGCTGCTGAAGACAAATGATGACAGGTTCTTTTTAAATCCAGTAATAAATGTTTAAACTGTTATCAATCATTCACGGATTAACTCGGGCGTATCATGAAAGTTGTTTCGCGCACTTTTACTTGTTTTTACTTTCCCAATGCCGATTAGAATGTAATTACTCGCTTAATTAGCAAGACATAGCGTGAACACTTGGTTTTAATAAGACTGAGATTCAGATACTTATTTGACAGTTTTTTTTTTTTTTAATAGATAGCCTCGGGGCAACTTGGATAGACAAATTAAGGAAAGTTGATACATGGCAGAGAGTGGAACAGAACAGACAAGAATGGTTGTATTTGGGTCTTTAAAATCGGCACACGGAAAAGAATGAGTTAGAAATATAAATGCGTTTATGTGTCAAAGTATCGGAAATAAAAGTATCTTTCTTCGGTACCCATCGGAACCACTTCACGGGTAAAGGCCTCCTCCAGCTTTTTCCAAATATCTCTATCCATGGCATTCTTTCTCCATTCCCTTCCTGCTAACGCTTCTATACCTATCCATCTTTGTTTCCTTTTGTCCTTTCCATATAGTTGATTTTATCTCTGCACCTAGATACCCCGCCCATTGCCACGTCTTTTTTAGGGCATAATGTAACATCTATAACTTGCTTTTCGTCCTATTGAACATACTATACTTTTATGTCAGTAAAAACGGCTTAGCAGTATTTCAGGCAAGCCTATTTGTTTGAGAAGGTATACCTTCTGAAGGTTGACGACAGCTTACAGGCACGGGCAAATATAAACTTAAGGGAAAGCGCTGTCGTTTTATTATTCGTCAACAGATGGCGTTGGACATAATGACGCTACGTGTAAAACGCGGCAAGTCTTTTCAGATTAAAAAGCTTCCATCGGGAAAGGCGAGGAGGTACTCCGTGATTCACTCACACCAGTAAGCTTCCGTCCTGCCGAGGTGAGTCACGACAACCCAAACCGTGGTCCGTGTCTCGCAGTAAACTTTGCGCTACTCGTGGAAAAAAACAGCCCGAGTTGAGCTGACAAGCCCTTCAGGCAGACAACGCGAACCCATTATTATTATTTTTAATTAAAAATAATACTTACGACTCGCAATAAGGTAGTTTTCCATATCCTTTGTATGTTCTCATGTTGAGAGTCATCCCGCATTCTTGACATTTGAAGCACCCTTTGTGCCAAACCTGAAAACATAACATTTCTTAATATCAAAAGGTCGAAACGAATCCACTTTCCGTTGATAGTGTGACAAGTTAATTTTCTTACAAATAGATGGCGCTATACGTCTACTTAAACGCGCTTGTAAAATACGTTCCTTAATCTATAAAACTGTTATTTAGGTTTAAAGACTTCATTTCTCAAAAAAGACAAAAAATGTCACTTACATGAGAATAATACTCTAGATAACATAACATTGTAGTCGTTCTTAAAATAATCACAATAAAATATAGCCGTACATGCAATAAATTTAAAAATAAAAGTAAACAAAGAAATATGAATTAAAAGTAATTATAAGAAATGAATTTAAAAGTAATTTTGTTTAACATATTCACTTAGCTTCGATTTGAATGAATTGATAGAAGTAATATTTTTTATATCTGTGGGTAGTTTATTATACAGCTGTGCGCCTTCGTAGGTAAACATTTTTTTGCCGTAGTTCGTACGTACTTTAGGTAATGCAATCTGTGAAGGTTATACATATTGTGGTAGAAATATTAATATCGGTCCAGACTCAAGCCGTTTAATAGGAGTTCAGTGACATACACACGTACAGTAGAATTATGTATGTTAACGTAAAATTGTACATACCGTTAGATTGTAATCTATCTCGCGAGATTATAAACTGTCGAAAGATTGTGAACTCAACGTACTGCTTACAATTTAACGTATTATTATTCGGTAGATTATAACCTATCGAAGTGAAATCGTCAAATTGTGAAACGGTACGCATCTCGCGCGCTGATTTCATATATTAAGATATGTCACCATTCCAGTTGCATGCATTAAGGGAACAATAAATAAATAAAAAACATATACGTTATTGTAAATAATTAATAAGTTATATTATTGCAATATCCTTTAAATCTAGGTCAAGTTATTAAGAAGATACGTTCAAAGTGCTAACGAAATGTAGGCCGCTTTGTACGCGATCAACTCAACAAATTTCGAACGGATTTGATAAGGTTCACCATTAAATTGTGACTGAGGAAGGTTTAAGTGTAACCTATAATTTTATAGAACAGAGGGTACATCGGGGGGGGGGGGGGGGGGGGGGGGTGTAAACGGGCTCATCTGATGGTAAGTGATACCGCCCATGGACAATCAAATTCCAGAAGGCTGGCAGGTGCCTTTTGAGGATTGGTATTGGTTCGAAAATACCTACCGCCCAAGGCCAATCTTAAGTCTAAATGCCAAAGTGCTCGCGAATGCGTTGCCGGCACTCTTTCCTTCAAAGTTCAAGAACTCTTCTAGAAGGTAGGTTATTTTATACCTCAAGAAAGGATCCTTGGCTAGTTTAACAACTGGCACTGACTGGCCCTAATATCGAAACGTATATATGGCCAAGGGGAATTACTTTGATAGCGCGTTTTAAGGTATGACATCATCAGTGTGATTTGTAAGCAAACTGTAGATGTCGCTACATTAGGTAATGTCCGTCCGTGGGAAGCCAGCATTTCACTTAATTAGCTTAATTTAATTAGACATTGTTAATGTGAGAAATGCTTATAATTACTTCATTACTGGAATTAATGATTTTGACCGACTTCATTTATCAGATTTGTTTGAGTATTCGAACCCCGTACAGACAAATGGACTCACTCGCTCGTACCGTTCAGGCTTTGGACCAAGTCGACAGATACAGGAGGCTGATCACCAACTTGCCTATTACGAAATAGAAACAAAAAGAGGCCTGAAAGGTTTTTTTTTATTGTCCATAAAATGGTCGGAAAGTCATAATCCTTTTGATTTATATTCCTACTTATAACCGTCAAAATTTCATCAAAATCGGTTCAGTAGCTTTTAATTGCCACGTAATTCTGTATGCAAAAGCGAAAAAATAATATTCCTTATTTGGGGTCAAATTACATAAATTATGCGTATCTATATATACTCTAAATTTAGCCTATCCACCATAGGTTCCGTGGTGTAGTGGTTATCACATCTGCTTTACACGCAGAAGGCCGCCAGTTCGATCCTGGCCGGAATCATATTTTTTTTTTTTTCATTACTTAAACGTGACAATATAGTAAACTTCTTATCATTGTAATGGATAACATAAGCAATGTTTAATTTCAATTTTTTTTAGAATGAATTTTTTTTTATTTATTAAATGTCTGAACGTATTTGGATATATTTGGCTATATCTTTAGTATAAGTTTTTTTTTTTCATTATATAATTTATGCTGTAGGATTACGAAATAAATAAACATGTTCAATTACGCGAGTACCAAAAATAAAACTTCAACAGAACGCCGTTATTGCATTATGCCTACTTATAAATAGTAACTGTCTGATACGCGTTTACTCCCTAGCCACTGAAACGATTTAAATCAAAATTTTGTATAGGACATAGGTATCGCAAAAATAGTTTGATAGAGTCAATGAAATTTCTTTCTTCAACGATTTGTGAACAAAAATTCAATTTATATTCTTTTGCTGAACACAAATGCTGAAAATCACTTGAAAAATAATAAATATATATTTTAACCCTACCTGGAAACAAGGTAGGTACAATTCCATTAATTGCCTAAAATTAGTTTTATTTGCACATTATACTTACTATATATATTACTATATCGCTAAGCAATGAGACTTGTTGTAGCGAGATTTAGATTTATTATTTGGGTGCAATATATAAATTTAGAAAAGAAAAGAAACAATAAATGAATAGCTAAAGATATATTTATATTTATAAAAGTAGTGAATTAAGTGCAATTGTATAATAGTTACATAATACTTTTAGGTTAAAATTCAACCATACATAAACTGTTAATACATAAATTATGATTTATTTTCCTTTCAAAAACACAATTATGCCAGTTCTTCATATCATTCTTAATAATTCCAAACAAATAGAATACTTATTAGAGCACTTTGGTTAAACAATAAAAATTGAGACCTTTGATGTTTTTTTAAGGTTTAAAACAATATTGAAGTGTTGAAATGGCAATTGTTCATATCCTCATTAAAGGCAAAATAGGTACTGAATACAAGTCTTCATGGAATTACTCATAGCTTTGAGGAAATTACTCTAATTAATAATACACTATCTAGGCGAGTTAGTGCTCAGAAACCTGACCATACCATAAGCATAAACAGGTCCACGCCAGGATGTCAGGCTAGTTATTTCAAAATTCTGGACATTTAAAAGAACACATTTCGGCCTGCTGAGAAATAACCCTAGATATAACTATGGCATACACCAAGGCACCTGTTGATGTGCTTTAACATTGGCTTGTACGGACCAAAAATGAGAAGAAACTGGCTGATTTAGAAGGTATAAGCTTGCCAGAAAATGATCAATGATCACTGTGGGCACATGCTCACATATCATGCTCAAATTTCCTTGGGTAAAAATACTTAATTGTTCGGCCTAAGATTAAGAACTGTCTACTCTGAGTTCATGGCTTTACAACAATGGACATTTCTTTTAATGTGTACAATGCTATTTGTAAAAATAAATCCAATCTCATGTGTCATGCTGAAATCTGAATACAAATATCCTAGATTATACTGATGTCATATCTTGGTGATGTCATACTATATATAGATATCCTCAGTGCAAATGCAAATATATATATTGTAAGAAAGTTCTTTGAAATTGAATCAGGATAAAATCTAGCTGTGCCAGACCATTTAGGGATGCCCTATAACTGCTCTCTCTGTTACCACAGAGTAATAGATTAACACTGATTTGATTCATACTTTAGTAATTTCTTTGTTAAATGACCTTGAAGTTGATGAGAAATAACTGACAATTGTGATTAACATGTGCAATTACATGATTCAATCTCTGAGTCTTACAAGGATGTACTTCAGTAAAATTGATATGTAATAGAGGTTATCTTATAAATTTAACCAGCTTCAAGAAAAAAGGTGAGGCCTATGAATTTGATGTGTATTTTTACTAAATACAGCATGTTATTACATATAGTTTTTATCACAATTTCTTATTGCATTCTTTGTTCTTAAAATCTTTTAGACAACTGTTGTGCTACACTGTTTACCATCACTTATTGGCACTGAATAAGTGTATCATTGCAACATCATACTATAAAATTCTGAGTCTTCATATACTTAGGTTCTGTGGAGCGTCACAAGGACCTGCAGAGAAATGTGGTTTCAGTATTTTGATGACTATTCCTGTTTCAGAGGTATTTGACAATACAGTGCGAACATCCTAAGGGAGTTTGGTTTGAGGGACAAAACTTGGTAGAGCATGTTTTGTTATAAAGTTAGGGCCAGTTTTTTGATCCGTAGTAAAAAATGGTTTTACCATTTGTTACATTAACTATAGTTAAATGAATAACCATTGGTAAAATCGTAAATGCGTTTTTCAATGCCTTTTTTAACTATAGTTAAAGTTAACAATTTGTCAATTTGTTGCCAGTGCAATGAGCAATGACATCCCAAAAAATGTGGTTCTTTTTTGTGTGGATCATTTATTTTGTATGACAACACTAGACATATTGAGTGAATGAAATCCATTTTTGCCATCTTCATTCGTTATTTGCGCTTTGAAGAGTTTGAAGTGTCAAATTAATCTAAATAACACGATATAAATAAAGTTGTTTTTCTGTGATTTAATACGGTTTACACTTTTTACGATACTTAAATATATAAATAACGATGTCCGCAAACAGCCAACGGTCAAATAAGTAAGTTCAAACATATTTTCGTGTTATTTATTCCGGTTTATCTTGTGTTTCGTAATAGAAAGTAATACATTTATGTTTTGTTAAAGGGACCATACTGCTAACTTCGCCAAAAAAGAAACTGCCAAACTGGTGATGCTTCTCAAGGATTACACAGTCGTAACCTGCAAACAACTGATCACTGCAGCAATCTACAAAAAGATGCAGCTTGGAAATCTCTGTGACATTTTCAACTCAGATGGGTCTAGACACCGAAGTGTTAAATTTAATATACATTTAATGAAGGTGTAGGCACATTTTTATATTTATTCTTGTATAGCTGTGTCCTACAACAAAGGGAAAAAATCTTTTAACCCTTTGGAAACAAGGAAGCGGATTATGATCCACACGGATAAAAAAAAATTGAGTTTTTGAAACAAAGACAAATAAGAGAGGATGATTTGTTCAATTATGCTTAGGAAGAGCATCAAAAACATTTGCTGCACCAATGAGAGGCCCACCAAAAATTCATACTGCATAAAGAGGAGGTGCACCAAAAAGTGATGCAGCAGATGGAAGAAAGGCACAATAAATATATGTAGCAGCAAAAAAGAGTTGCATCAAATTGAGGTGAAATGCAAGAAGAAACAATTAGAAAATATTTAATTGCTACTTTAGGGTTTCATGTAAATTTTGTAATGTTTTTTTAATAAAAATGGTTTGTATTTAAGTTATAATTAAACAGTTTATTAATCAAGTCAAATGTTTTATTTATAAATTCTTGTAATAAAGTAGATAGATGCTAACTCACAAATGTAATAAAAGCCCTAAAGAATATCATAGGTCCCTAACTAATGTGTAGCTGTAGTTTTTAGTATAAGTACATACTTGTATGTACTTATAATAATTATAAGTTAATATTATTAGTAATATATAAATAATATTAACTCTAATTCATTATGTATTCTATTGCCTATAATATTAACTTATAATAATTATAAGTTAATATTATAGGCAATAAAACACATAATGAATTAGTAATATACTTAATTATATACTGCTGCGGTTCTGTAGCTAGTAATGAAGCAAAATAGGTTTATATGAGCTGCTGTCTATATATACTCTTGTTCTTGTATTTTATTTAATTATAATAATTATAAGTTAATATTATAGGCAATAAAACACATAATGAATTAGTAATATACTTAATTATATACTGCTGCGATTCTGTAGTTAGTAATGAAGCAAAATAGGTTGGTATGAGCTGCTGTCTATATATACTCTTGTTCATTGGCAGTTTAAGATCATTCCCAATTTCAGTAACAATCCAGAGCACTGTTCCCTTCGATAGGGGGTAACAGTGACAAAAATCTACATCATCCCAGGTTTCTAATAAATATTTTTGGTCACTCATTAACACATTCTCATATAATATTATCGTCTTCTTCATTAATTAAAGTATCTCAATATGTTAAAATTCATCATTAGATAGTAATAAACGTATTTATCATAGTTTGATTTCTGTGACAAACAGCTGTTAGTATATAAATTACCAGCGGCCATCTTTTTAACCCTCCGATACTGAGTAGTTAACTTTTTTGACTAATGGTTAGATATTTTACCATTGGATGCTCTTACCACGGATCAAAAAACGCATTTTGCTGATATTTAACTAATAGTAACGATTTTTTACCAATAGTTGAGTTAACTACGGATCAAAAAACCGGCCCTTAGTTGGAACACATGCCTCAAATAGATACAAAGTTTTTGTGGGGAACTTGTGATGAGTCAGCTTTGTTTGTTTTTTTTTTTGTTTTTTTAATAGAACGGGGGGCAAACGGGCAGGAGGCTCACCTGATGTTAAGTGATACCGCCGCCCATGGACACTCTCAATGCCAGAGGGCTCGCGAGTGCGTTGCCGGCCTTTTAAGAATTGGTACGCTCTTTTCTTGAAGGACCCTAAGTCGAATTGGTTCGGGAATACTTCAGTGGGCAGCTGGTTCCACATAGTGGTGGTGCGCGGCAAAAATTTATATATAATATTTAGTTTATTCATAGTTAGTTTTCTTAAAGATGTATTAAGGTAATAAAGATATAGTGGTATACAATATACTTATCCAATAGCATAAAAATAAATAGTATAATATCAGGTAAGGCTATTATGAATAAAATGTGGTTAAAATAATCAAGGATTGTTTTCTGTAGGGGGTCGCACAAGTATTACGTAAGCACTATAGGGAGGGATCTTTGATTTTCTTAATTGGTGTTTGTAGTAATCAAGTATCAAGTAATTATTTACTTGATACTTGATTACTTGACTAACGTGTGATAAATCAGTTTATTTATTTAAGGATTGCTTTTTGTACCTTTATATTTAGATGTAAGCATTATAGGGATCACAGAAGAACAGGCTAAAACCTTAAAAATAAAATAACGAGTTGACCATGACATATAGACCGCGAGCGGTAACGCAAGTTCGGCTCTGTAGTCTGTACATCGAGAGCGTACAACAGCCTAACGTTAACCAACATAAAAAGTAAGATAAAAAACTAATTTTATATGCATTTGTTGCGTTCCTAAACAAGACTGCTATGGTAACGTTTATACAAACCACAGCAGTTTTCTAATGTAACTTTTCATGATTTTATTATATTATTCTGCAAAACTATGAACTCAGATTTCCAAAGACAAAATGCAGTATGAACTAACAATTATTATCTTATAAAAAATAAATCAGTGGCGCCTATAAAGGTTGTACCTTTATATGTCTGAGACTCAGTTTTCATGATCATTTGTCAATCTAATAGGCAAGTTAGTGATCAACCTCCTGTGCTTGACATGTCGTTGACTCTACTTAGCTTTGAGTCAGAGTCAAGACAAGCTGGTCCTCTCGATGTTTTCCTTTACAATTTGAGATAATGTTAATTTGCACAGAGACAGAAACTTCATTGGTGCACTGCCGGGGTTTGAACCTACAATCTCAGGGAAGAGTTGCACAGCAAAGCAGCCTTAAGCAATAATTTGATATTTTAAATAAATCTTTAATAGATAATAAAAACATTTATAACTTATGTAAAATAATGACATTTTACAATACTATTAATAAATGAGTAGCTACCCTATTGGGACAATTAACTTGCTGAATTGTTATATGAATTAAAGTGATAAATTAATTATGAATCATTAACCTAGTTTCATGTCCTTGTTGAGTTCTATAATAAATGCATTATTATTGCAACAAAGTTCACTTGTTACTTTTTCATACAGACTCTAGAATGTTTGAAATTATTTTTGTGTATAGAAATACATTTAAAAGATACAGAAGAAGTCACAAGTCAGATTGTTAATTTGTAATGGAGATTTTAAGTCTCCTTGATTCATTTGTAATGTTTTTAATTTAGATAATATATAGATTTCTTATGTTATTTTATTATAATAGACTATAGTTAACCGCCATATAATGCGGTAGTAAAGCCGTTTTATTGAATAATTCAAAAACGTGGAACTCAAATTCGAGTAATAAATACTTTCTTTGCAAATATGTGATTTATTATTATTAATTTTATGATTGTAAGGTTACACCTTGATGTTTTAAATGTGCTATTTTCAATTTGGGAAAATTAAAATCTTCAGAGATGAAAATCACATGATCAAAGCTGTTGGTGGTGCTGGTTAGCTTTAAATTTCATATCTCCTAAACTATTAATGTAAGCATTGTATTGGTAAACTATGTATGAAAATCTAAATCTACCACTTAAAAGGTTTACTTAAAATAAATCTACAGTAAAATTAAAAAGTCACCAAATTGACTATACCTAGACAGAAGTTCATTCTCAATACAACAAACAATATAACTGTATTATCCTAAATAATCCTAACTGCTCTTAATTTTAGAATTTTTCACAATCTGTAATAATTACATATTTGTGAAAATCTATTAATTGTTAAATTAAACGTTTTGTGTACAAATTTGTTTTCAAGTTTAAATGTATGTTACACGAAACAAAACTATTAACGTATTTTAGTTCGCAAAGATTTTTAATTATCGAGATTCACGATAAAGGTAACATTTCAGGGTTATTATTAAACTTATCTCCCTTATCTATTTTTAATATGTAAATAATCTGATAACAGATAATACCTATGATATCGTCATGAAAATTAGGTAATTTATCTATGGCAAAAACCGAAGTATGTAGAAAAAGTTCGTCAACTTTAGTTTGAAGTCTATTCTGGTTATTTTTGAAAATGGAAATAATAAATCTATGTAAGAGAGGGCAATAGTATCGATATTTTTCAACACAAGGTCATATTATTGCTTTATAAAGAATTCAGGGCGGAGACATACCTAGTTATGGTAATAAATTGAACTCACGAAGTATTAATATAATTTTATGAGTCATTCGTCCGGTTTAATTCGGATTGGCTTTGTACTTAATTTAACGTACCTACAATTTCGCGTTAAAGTGTTAGCAATTCTGTTAATTATGCGGAAAAAGTAAAATTAACTTTCTATCAATGTTACCTTGTCCAAGCATTTGAGTTCCTCTGTGGGATAAACAGTTTTTATGCACCGCGCACATGTTTTATTCATCTTGAAATAAGCTCAAAACAATAAGCAACAAACTCACAAGAAAGTTTCACTAACTTTTGAATCACCGAACTTAATTTTTAACAAAACACTCATGAGCACAATGTCTGTAGCATCCTCAAACGCGCATGCCAAAAAATGACAAATGGCTGCCGCAAATATTGCCCACCTCAAAATATTTAGATTTTTTCCTTTCACCATTTTGTACTTACAAGTTACGTAGATTAAAAATAGTAAAAAAATTAAACCAAATCAACATTATTATAAACTTTTTTTATTTTTCTTGTAATTAATCTAAAATACACATAAAAAATTATGACATACACTGACACTTGTCTCTTTTTAAAACCGTTAGGGCCTCATTGAATAATTGTTTCGAAGTTTGAATCATGTCAACGAGATGGTTATAATCATCATTTTTTTCTTCTTCTATCATTTTGAGTTTATCTTCCAATATTTTTAATTTTTCCTCGGCAAGTTCCAGTTTATATTTGAGTTCATCCTTATCCAGCAAATCATAACTTTCACTTGGATCATCCGATACTGTTTCACTAGGTCTTACAGCGATAGCGGCAATTGAAGAATGTTTCTTTCCTAACGAAGCTGCAGTCGAGGGAAAGCCATCAAACGTTTGTTCCTTTTGTATAGCTGTTTTAGAAGTTCTAGATGGTCTTTTGGAATCCTTCAATGTCTTCAATTCATCCTCAACCAAAGCAATCTTTCGTTCAAGCCTCCTTTTCTTCTCTTTTGTTTTTCTATGAATTACATCTAATTCTTCGTATTTGTGCCTTTCATTATCTATTCTTTGATTCAAAATAAGAATCAAATCCGAAAGCTTTTTAATTTCATTGTCTGTTGCAGTTTTCATGGGTGTAAAGAATACGCTTTGCAATGAACATTCTTCGTATCTTAGTAATTGCGCTCGTAGTTCTTCAATTTTTGTAGCTTTTTCTGTTGCTTGTTCTCTTAATGCGTCAATTTTAGCATCTGTATTCTTAATAAGTTTTTGATACTCAAATATTTCAGAGTGCATTTTATTCATTTTTACAGTATTTTCTTTCAAAATTTCTTGATAATAGGATTCTAAGCTTTTGATTTGATTCTGAAAATATATGTAAAATTAAGACAATACTACGAAATTTGTAAACAGTGTAAATTTACTGAATTCATACATGCGCTTGGGCACTCACCCTTTGTTCGTTCACGAGCAAATCATCGTGATTACTTTTTTCAACAAATGTCTGCATTTTTTGCCGCAATGTGGTTGCGTCACATTCCAAGTTTCTTATTCTGCATCGAGCTCCTTCCAATTTTCGTTTAAGATCAATATTATCTTCTTTTAATGCTTCAAAGTCTTTCATCGCTCGGTCTACTTCTCTTTTACGCTTCATTTCTAGGTCACGTAATATCTGAAAAAGTTTTGTATCAGTAACTCATAATAACAAAATTTAAATACGATAGCGTAAAGAGAGAGACAATTCCGTTGTATTTATTTTTCGATAAGTATTATTAAATCTGAGCAACCAAGAATATCGTTTAATTTCTGATTAGGGTAATTACTATTTAATCGGGGCTCCAAGACAAAACAAACTTTTAGTTTCTGTAACGTTCTGGTTTCTCATGTAAAGTGTTAAATTAAAAACTTACTACAGTTTGATCATTCTTTTTAGCTTCAAGAAGATCCTTATGTTTTCCATTCAGTTTTTCTTCTAGAACAGCAATTTTACCTTGCAACAGAGCTATTTGTTGAGCTCTTCCTTTCCAACCAGCTAAATCATTTTGAAGATCTTTTATACTAGTGAATTTATCCCCTAATTCCTGTTGCAATATTTTTGTTGCTATAAGAATATCGTTTTTTAATTCAAGATTCCTATTCTTGCTGTCATACAACTTTCTGTTAACGACTACTAGTTTGTTATTTAAGTCTTTCAATTCATCAGGATTAACGTCTCCTGTCTCATCTTTGCATAGACAAGCTTCCAATTTTTCGTTTTCTTTATTAATTAGGTCCAGTTGCATGATTTTTCTTTCTAGAGCAGCATTTTTAGTTTTATGGCTCTCCACTTCAGCAACTAAATGACGATTCTGTTTGCAAAGCTCTGTGATTTTAGCGCTAATAATTCCGGCTGATTTTGAGGATATTGCAGGACCGGAACCGGATATTATATCGCGTATACGTTGATTTAAATCGGCAATTGTTTTATTTTGTATCTTTATTTCTTCGTCTTTTGTGAATATACATTTCCGAAGTTCATTGTTTTCCCCTGTCATTATCTAAAGAGAAACTATTTAAATTATTACTCATAGTCATAATCAAATACAATGACATATATATGTGAAAAGTCTTATATGTTGCCATTTGTAGTATATCTATGTTCCTACTTGCATTATAACAAGACGCGTTTCATTATCGGACGTCAAGGCGGAATACAAAATACCATCTGCATCACCTCGGCGTCCGTCTGAAGTATTTCCGAACAAATTAAACTACAGCCTTCAACCTGTTTGCCTCTTGGTACATAAAAACGCAACCCCTGAATAAAGTTTCTCCTTACATTTAATAAAACGAGCATCAATTGGTTATACTATTTGCGCAATTAATGCTTGTTCTTATGGCAAACCGAAGATTGTAAAGGAACCGACATGTCCTAAACCCTCAAATTGTCTAGGGTCTTGACTCTTGACCCATTCCTTAAAAAAGAAAAATAATCAAGGAAGAATGCAATCTGTAAAAATAAAGGGTTGTACCCACTGAATTATTATTTTATATACCTTTAATTGTTCAATTAGGTGAGCATTCAGTTCAGGCGGGTATAGCAAATCCTCTGGGTCTGGTTTGTCAAGACCAGCTAACATTTTTAACTTCATCTCATCGGTTTCATCTATTTTGGCCGCTAATTCTATAGTCTTTTCATCCTTTAAATTAGTTTTTGACTTAATTTTCGCAGTCGATCCTTGTTTTTATCCATTTTGAATCAGATCTAGTTATTTATTTTCATAATAAGTCATGTACTTGTCAAAAGTTTGTCAAAATATCTGTAAATTCTTAAATTGAATTCTAAAAAATAAAGTAAATACAGAAAAATAATGTTTGATTATTTATTTATGATGCTATTATTATTATTATTTATACGAGTACGAATATTAATTAAAAAAAATATTGTGAAAAGTCCAGATGATACAAATTTATTGTTTTTTTATTGTTTATTATTTTTAAACTGGCAAGTTTATTCGCGTTGCAATTGATTAGGCTTTAATGTCAATGACATTCGTTATCTGTCAGTCATTTGAGAATTCGTATTTCGTGGCGTAAAAATAGGAATTGCAATTTGCAACCTGCTTGTTTGTTTATAAAAATAATTAAAAACATATAAATAAGGATTGTTTGTAACTAAACAAGGTAAGCACAGTTGGTTTAACCGTATTATACAATTCCTGTTGTCCATTAATTACTTTCATATGTAATTTTATTACAATTAGCCGCAATTACTGAATAGCCACTTAATATTAATCAATACAATAGATTTTTTTACATTTCATCCCTGATTAAAGTAATAATTAGTATAAAAGGACACATTGTTATATATTATTAACATCTAAAAACGACAGGGTTCGAGAAAAGATGTTTATATTATATGAAAACTCGTTAATTCTGTAGCTACGTGGGTCTGACGTATTAAATTCTATACCGATATACATAGATATTTATCGTTTTTTTTCGTTAAGTGCTGTAAACACATTGTTCTTATAACGCTTAAATAGAATTATTATAATGCCTATACTAGCTGTATTTAATTGTTGTATTTGCAATGGCTTAAGCAGTAGTAATGCATTTATAGTAAATTTTTGAGTTCTATGTGATACTTATATTGAGGTCCTTTCACAATATATCTGTGGATGGTACCCGACTCTATTTTCTATCCCAAATAGGTTTAAGGCTGGCCACTAGTTGGCAATTGTAACAAAATCACTGAACATATCTACGTCTCCTAGGGACAGTCTGATTTTACTCTATAAATATGTGATTATAAAATGTGTAGTATATGTGTAGAACTTCAAAACAATATTCTAAACCTACAATTACTGTTATCTTCAAGGACATAAGCCTGTAGAATAAGTATTATTATGTAATGTGTGTATGTGTGTTTATAACACACTAGCAGCTTAATAAGCTGATGCACGCGTATTTTGTGATTTGAAGAAACTATCCAATGTATTTTTAAAACAGTTCAAAGGTGCTGTACTATTTTCACTTTTCGGAAGCCTATTCCAGTCGGCCTCTATTCGGTTTGGGAGAATGTTCTTTACGGAATTTGTGTTATGTTGAGTGGTGTTCAGTTTTAAAGAACTACCCCTCAAATGTGCATTTTCACTTAAAATAAAGAGCTTTTCAATTCCAAGAACATTATAGTGGCCAGTGTGGATTTTATAGGTTTCAATGAGATTTCCTCTTAATCGCCTACTTCCTAAATCAGTAAGGTCAAGTGCTTTCAGATGCTCATTATAAAATTTGTTCCTGAGTGACTTGATCATTTTCGTGGCTTTTCTAATCTTTTAGTTCTTAATTTCAATCTAATAGTGGTCTAATGTAACATTTATATATCTTTAAGAGTTTTCTTGGTGAAAGGCATTTGAATAAATTTTTCAGTAAATAGAGCATGGAATTAGCCTTTTTACAATATTCATGATGTGACCTTCCCATTTCAAATCATAACGGATAGTAACACCCAATTCTTTTTGCGTGAATACTGGCATTAACTGCTGTTGACCGAGATGATAATTAGTATTGTAAGGATTTTTCATTCCTATGTGCAATATTGTGCACTTATTAACGTATGACAGCAGCCACTGCTTGGTCCAATTAAAAATATCATTTAAGCCACTGTTGTTTGTAATAATGTGAAAAAGTATGCTAAAATGGACATAATGCAATGGCTACAGAGTTTTTAAATATTGTTTTATAATCAGGTAATTACACATCCTAATACACATATACAGGTATTTGGTTATAATGTATTTACCAATTAATAAATGAGTTTCTGTATCTTTGCGATTCCATTACAATTTCTGTTTAACTTAAAAGATGCTATATTTATTTTTCAGAGTTAACAATGGGTATATCAGTGAGTAGATACTCAGACATTACAAATAATGAATTGGTTACAAAGTTTTGTTCAACAGAAGTAATTTGCCCTAATGATCCATTTTGGAATCAGCTTTTGGCTTTTAACATACAGTTGCCGGCAAATGTGTAAGTTTATTATTGTATAACTGTATAAGTAGTATGATTTTATACACACAACCTAGATAAGAGTAGGGTGCGGGCATTGTGAGTGTCCATGGGTATCACTGAACTTAAAATCATAAAAGTCTAAAATTTTGAAGATATGTTCTATAAAAAAAACAGTGACATATTCGACACAACATAAGCTTATGGATTCTACATACCAAAATTAACAGCTTTATAATTTTAGTATTGACTAAATTTCTGTTATAGAAACTAATTGATTGTGTTTTTAATACTAATTGATTGTGTGATTTACAGTGATGAACAATTAATATTTGATTCAAATACGGAGTCTTTACTGCAGAATTTTTTACAAAATAATCCAGCAACTGGCAACCTTGGGTCTTTAGTACAAGTGTTTATAACACGGGCAACGGAATTGTTAGCAGCACCAAATACTGATAAGTAAGTATAAGATTATTTATGAATTAGCTGCATTTGGCAGTTCCACCTGCATTAATTCGTTTGTATTACAATGTTCCAAATCTTTTCCTGATAAACAGACTTTTCAATGCAAAAGGAATATTATTTTGATAGACATATTGATGTCTTTGATAAAACTGAGGTACATTGCTCTATTGTCATTAGTTTCTGCAGCATATGCATTTAGGATTTTTTACTAACCTTTCTCACACCTTTACCACACTATAATTTCATAAAAAAACCTTTTTTGAATATATTCTACAGCCTGTGGCTATAAGTGTATGACTGATTTAAAATATTATTTTGCTTTGGATCCTATTCAATGCAAACAATCAAATCTTTCCTATATATATTAGGATAGATAAATTGATTTTTTTTTCAGCCTTATGCTGGCATGGCAAAGTTACAATGCGATATTTTTCATCCGAGCTGTGACTAAATATTTGGTTGAAATGGTTCCTGAGTATGATTTGTGCAAGCATTTAGATGTTCAGGCCAGGAATAGTGTGAGTAACTTGTTGATATAACATTGAGCATTCCTCATGAAATGTAGATATTGGAGGTGTTTTTGAGTTTGACTTGCCTTTAAATAAATGCTAGATATAATATGTTGATGACTTGTAGGCATTATCAAGCTCTAAAACTTGACCGATTCTTATAAAATTTTGTGAATAGTTCGTACTTTATTTATACCTCTTAGTGATAACGGCAAAAAAATATTTTTTGTTTTCTAAATTATAATTGTAATGTAATTGAAAATTGAAACGTAGCATTTATAAACAAAGCTTAAAAGAGAAAATTTACTTATAATTTTAATGTTTCTTTGTGCTAACTCAGAATGACGCTTTGACAACTGAGAGATGACACTGTTAACAGATAATAGTTGACTTTAGTCTGTTACAATTGTATTCTTGTTAAGACAAGTTATTATTTAACTACGCTATTTTATTTTTATTTATTTAAAAAGGTCTAGGTTCTATTCTTTTTGGTTTTGTTTATATGTAATATATTATTGTAAATTTGTTGAAATTTTTAGTCTGTGTAATTTGAGTTTGTGTCCTTATACACAGTTTAGACACTGGTGATTGTTGTTTTATGACAGATGTTACGTTCACAGAATCCGACGCAGGATCAGGAGGATGATAAATTACCAAATGGGGAGAGTCGGGTCGAGATGTTGATTGATGCATTGATAAGTCTTATCATTGATGTGCCCGTGACGTGAGTATTGTGGAGTTTGGACTCTTAGGTCTTTGGGACAATCTATCCGCCGCCTTCAGCTGAAAGCCGGCTACTCAGGAACAGGACAGTTAGGGCTGGAGGTGTCTCGTTTCATAGGCTTTTTTGGTGTCAGGGTCAGCCGAGTGAGAGCTGCTGAATCGATTTTCTTTATATTGGAAAGCTGTTTTTAATAAATTTTCATATAGGCGAGATTGAAAAGGCTAATAGTATTTCAAATTTTTCTTTAAATAATACTAAACATTTTGACGACATTCCTTTTCCTTATTATTTTTTTTTTGAATTAGGACATGCGTTCCGTATATCCAGCAGGAATTAATTTTGTAATTCTCAAATCGCCACTCACGCGCGCTCCAGGCCAACACTGTTTGTTAAATAGTTTTCTGTTTTTTCAGTGACAATACATACCATTTACACTTGGAAAGTATAAATACGCTGCTAGTTCTTATGTCTGTTTATATGTTCGCGGGTATACACGGACAGACGAGATTGGTTGAGACATCGCTTATATTCAGGTAAGTTCATTTCAGAAGCGGCCTATATCGGACCTTAAAACAGTTTAAGAAAATAAATTATAAAATATATATAAAACCGGTTTTACAGCTGCGCCTGAGCACATTTATACACATTTATAACTTCCAGCGTTTTGTCGTGAAAGGGTAGATAACCACGGATCTCCTGCTACAGTCCTGACTTTGCCTCATCCACATGACACTTTTGCTCGTCACTTCACCCATCCTGTCCCATCTCTTGGACCTGGATTTTGTCCAAGACCCAACCCAACCCGACTTCACCATCCACGTGTGCTTGTTAACCACTTCTTATTGATCCGTTCTACACAAAACCACCTAAGAATTTCCTTTCGCATTCTTCTTTTAACTACTTTTAATACTACTCACTATTACTTAACCTATCACGCGATACTTCACAAATACTTCTTGACGCTCTTATTTCCAGCATTTATTCTACTTTTTTCTCTGCCTCATTTCTTCTACACAGAACCACCATCCAATCCAGTCCATCTTTTGTCTGTACACCTGGCCTCTTTCCTCTTACAGGACAAGCAATTAAATTATTAAGAAATCTTGAAGGCACTATTAAAATATAAACCACTCGATATATGAATGAATGTACTTATCATTGTCTGATCTACGACCATAGATAAACGATAGTTATTTACGATGTCTTGTTATTGGATTTGGCAAAACCTTGTATCTTCTATTGCCATATGTCATATGTCATCCATATGTCATCTTGGCTGGAAGTGTTCCACTAGGGATTTTCTTTGTAACTGTGGAATCGACTCACCGGGTGGTAATAAAAATAGCGTATATTCGAGTACCATAATACGGATTACATAAAGTTAATGTTATTATATTTAAATAACACGACCTCCGACTAGGTGAAGGCCTCCAGTATCTTCCTTTTGTCTCCTATCTTCTTCTATTTTACAATCTTGCCCCGATATCTCTTATTCCATTTTCCCAGGTTTCTGGTGGGCCTCGATTTTTACTTGAGCTTTAATTTTAAATTAGTCTTGGATTCTCTCCTGGGAGATACGACCTCCAATTGCTTTATCTAAGCTAATTTGAACTTTATATAGCAAAACTGATTGGTTCCCACAAAAAACTTTAGTCCGCATTTTTGCAATAATTATCTTCTCATGTATGTTCGTATGTTTTACAGAACACTATTTCAAGGCAGATATACCATGCAAGCGCCACTTTTAATTAAAATTCTATTAAATAATTTATCGAATATGGCGCCTGCGCCAGCGCAGTTCGGATCACAAGGACCGGGGAGTCTCTTCATTAATATCGCTTGTAAGTACTCAATTTAAACGTATTTCCGAACCAATTCGACTTAGGGTCCGATAAGGCGTACCAATTCTTTAAATGCCGGCTACACATAAGTTTTTGAGTGGCAGTATTACTTAACATCGGGTGAGTCTCCTGTTTGCCTAGTTATATAATGCCGCCGCCACCTATGGACACACTCAATGCCAAAGTGCTCCGAGTGCGTTGCCGGCCTTTTAAGACTCGGTATGCTCTTTGAAGTTGACAATTATTTAAATGATCTTAATCTTTGGGATTAATTTGCTTCAGTTGAAATTTGTATGACTCAAAACTACTTCTTGCCCGCTCTACGCCCTTGACTTGCGAACTGATAGTAAAAAAAATACTTCTGTGGGCTGGTTCCACATAGTTGATAAATAGTAATAGATTTTGACATACAGGCTGTTGTTTTTTCCAGCATCTTTATGGAGTATGTTGACGTTATCATCAACACAGACAATATACACAGAACCACCATCGGAGAGGCGAGAATTGCATGAGCGCTTGATTCGGGAACATCCTCTCGCCAATCAGTCTTGCCTTTTATTACTGGCTTTATCTAATCACCATATTCATGAAGAGAATCTGTATAGATGCGCTCTGCTGAGGTGTGAGGATAGCAATGGTGAGTGATCTTCTAGGGGTTCAGGTCTAGCAAGGCTGGGTTTAGAAGTCTGGGAGGCTTTGTGGTTGAGGTGTGAGGATAGCAATGGTGAGTGAACTTCTGGAGGCCTCGGGGTAACAGAAGAGTCCCCACTCTTCTGTTTGTGTGAGTGGGTTTAAATAATAAATAAATCAGTGAACATGTTTAGGTCTGGGCCTCAGATTTCTGAATCTGTTTCATGATTGGTCAATCTTATGCGCAAGTAGGTTATTAGCTTGATCTGACTCATGTTTTCCTTCGTACGCACAAGTGATAAATTTCAAGTGTGACAAGTCAGTCCATTGGTGCTGGATCCTCATTGATGAGGATCTTACGCTGAAACCACTAGGCCAACACTGCCCTGGTTTGTAAAACAGCGATATATCAAAGGGAAAGTTGAGATTTTTTTTTTTCGAAGTCTGTTATGAAGGCCCCTCTGTTGTAGCCTCATTTGTTCTTTCCTAAATTCCCTAAATTGTATTTTTTAGACAAATTTTTTAAATACATACAACCCTTAATTTTCACCCCTCTTCGATCAACCCCTATTTCTTATTATAGTATATATAGTTATTTTTATTAAACCTAAAAAAAGTTTCCTAGAAAAAATATACATGGCAAAACATTAGCGGGGTCAGTTAATTGTTTATAAAATTTATTTTCACGATTAAAACTGAAAACATGATAAAAAAATATCATAAAACTTTGATTAACTAGGGAGGTAGTGGTGAACTCCAGGAAATTAATAAAAAAGTTTTACGTCACGTATTTTTTAAATATTGCCAATCAAATGTGAATTCAATTTGAACACCCTATATATATGCTACAGAAAAAAAACTGATTTATTTTAATTGCTTACTATAGTTAAGCTATAACAATTTCAGAAACGTCCGCTACAACGCCGCGTAAAGATAACGGACAGTTAACACCGCCAAGAATTGATATGGCTGCTGTAAGTTTAATCTTTCATCTCATTTCTCTTTCTCTCTCATCCATGACATTCACCATGCTTTTGACCTGACCCTTCTTAGTTGGAGTTGGTCCAGAACAAGAACTACCTGACCTCACCATCCACTTGCGTTGTATGTCGTATGCCGCTCCTCATTCATCTACACCAAACCACCTAAGCATTACCTATCGTATCCTGTCTTATACCCCTCAGCTCATGCAATGTTGCCACTCACTCATTGTTACAACCTTATTTAAATTATTTTTTTTACTGAACCTACCTTTTTAGTACACACCAACATGTGGGATATTAATATGCTATCTCCTAGAGTTCGCTTTTCTTAATAAAAATCTGCAATTTCGCCAATTTTTCTGTAGAAAAAAGTAAAAACTCAAAAAATGTCATGAGTGAAACTACTTTTTAACTCTTGTTCATATTTATACAAATCTAAAACTTTAGATTTCCGAGACTTAGAGGGAGGGAAAAATGAAGATATGTTAGGAATTTAATGGTCGAAAATTAATACATACAAATAATATTTTTATTTTTTTTAATTTATAACTTTGATAATAAGCCATTTGAGATTTCAATAAATTATTTTGCATAAAATATAAAATACTAATATTTCATAAATTCTCTTTACGAAATTTTAATTTTAAAATTAGAATTTTAATTAGGTAATTCACCCTTCTCACTCTCTCTCAATCGGTCTCAATCGCTCTCTCCCTTTTCTTCGACAAAAACGCTGTACATCTTTGTGACGTTCCCTAAAAATTATACCCTGTGCGCCTAAAGAAGTTTCACTTCAATAATAGAGTTTTGAGCTTAGCAACTTACATAAAATATACCTTTAAAACTTAAATTCAAAATAAAGGCCAATTAACGACAAAATTAATTATTCCAGCTCCACAAGGCCCTTTGTGCCACAGCAGGGTGTGAACATTCGACATTATTGTTATATTTAATGCTACACTCATGCAATGCTTACAAAAGGCATATCACAAATGTACCGCATATTGAGAAATTGGTAAGTGTAAAGAGATTAACGAATTAGTATCATTACCGCATAAATTATTAAATGTTAATGATTGTTATCATTACGGAATCAATTTTATGTCAGATGAATGACAAAATATAATAATTAATGAGGTTAACGAAGTAATTTCATTAATGCATAAATTTTTGAATGTTAATTATTGCAATCTTTACGGAATCAATTTGATTTCAGATGAATAATAATATAAATTCTGTTTCCCATTATTAATTGAGACATATTTCGTGTCTGATCCGATAAGTATTCTTTTAAAGGCGGTCATACGGGTAAATGGGCAGGAGGCTCTCCTGATGTTAAGTGACTCCGCCCATGGACACTTGCAATGCAAGTATGTTGACGGCCTTTTAAGAATTGGTACGCTTTTTGACCTCAAGTCGAATTGTTTCGTAAATACCTACCGCCCATGGACACTTTCAATGCAAGAGAGCTCGCAAGTATGTTGAGTGCCTGATTGGAAGTATGAATTGGAAGTACTTCATCGAACATAGACATTTTTCTCTGGTAATATAATCGTGTTATTTTTACAGATAATACCAATACTCCAAGTGCTATATAACGCTCCAGACAGCAATTCCCATCATATATATATGTCGCTAATCGTATTGTTAATTTTAACTGAAGACGATGCATTGATAAAAAACATTCACTTGGTCGTAAGTATATTAATTATTTAGTAATAAAAAATAAATAAATCAGTGACGCTACAATCTTTTTAGGTCTGGGACTCAGATTTCTCTATCTCTTTCATGATTGTCAATCTAATAGGCAAGTAGGTGGTCAGTCTCCTGTGACTGACTCGCCGTGTTGAGTCTAAGGCAAGCCGGTTTCCTCATGTTTTCCTACGAGCGAGTTTTAAATGCGCACATAGAAAGAAAGTACATTGGTGCGACTCTCTTCCCTAAGGCCTACAGTAAATGTGTAACGCACACTAAACACTGAGGAGAGAGAGGGGAAAGCGTATGTCCGAAATACGGCTAGCGCTGCGGGTTAGAGTGAGAAAGGAGGAACCTGTAACGCGTTACGTAACGAAGCTGTTTAAGAAGTTATCACTTCAAAAATCTAAATAAGCATTAAAAACTTGAAATCGCTTAATTAGTTTTGCTTTCACGTATGTTTTTTGCAGATGTTAAAAAACCTACCGTGGTACACCGAAAGATCGATTTCGGAGATTTCTTTAGGTGGTTTGATGGTGTTGGTGGTTGTTCGGGCGTTGCAATACAATATGGCGCGGGTTAGGGACAAATATTTGCACACGAATTGTCTGGCTGCGATTGCTAATATGAGCTGTGAGTATGTTTAGTTTTTTTGATGTGTTTAACACTACCTCTTAAATTTTTATTATATGCTTATAAAGTCTATTATTAAACAATTATTGTTTAATTTACTGCTTAATTTCATCGTTATGAAATTATTAAATAATTGTAATATTGTGTCTAAGCCCATTGTTTAATAATAATTGATGTTTTTTCTGCCTATAAAACCATAATTATTTTATTTACTGCTTTTAAAGTCCATCATTATTTTATTTACTGCTTTTAAAGTCCATCATTATTTTATTTTAAGCTTTTAAAGTCCAACATTATTAAATCAGTTTTTTATTTCTGCACATAAAGTCTATCATTATTAAAGCATTTTAATTCTGTCCCATAGACATCATGAAACAATCATTGTTTTATTTTTAGAGTATTACCATTATTAATTGATTAATTTTGTATTGTCTTCTGTAAGCACAATTTTTTGTTCTTCAAACATTAAGTTTAAAAAAATAATATTGTTTTCAGGTGAATTCAGAAACCTACACCCATATGTAGCGCAGCGATTAATATCATTATTTGAAACGTTAAGCAAAAGAAGAGCCAGACTGTGTAGTGAAATCGAAGGTATGTATTTTTATTTTTATTATTATTTATTTATTGTTTAATAGCATACAGGTGCTGTCATAGCAGCCCATGGACACCCTTTTTAGTGGGTGCGTTGCCGGCCTTTTAGGGAGGAGTATGCTCTCTTTTAAACAATTGAAGGTCGTTTCTCCCAGAGAACATTTCCACCGGGTTATTTTAGTGCATGCGTTGCCGGCCTATGAGGGAAGAGAATGCCCTTTTTGTAAACAATTGAAGGTGTTTGCTCCCGGAGAAGACTCCCAACGGGTTATTTTAGTGGGTGCGTTGCCGGCCTTTTAGGGAGGAGCATGGCCTTTTTTTAAACAATTGGAGATAGTATCTCCCAAGGAAGACCAAACGAAGCGGGAGGAATGAAACAGCTGTTCAGAACACCCTCCATAGTCTTTGTAGAATACAAAGAGAGAGAGTGAAAATCAAGTTGATCTTTAATATATTGGAGATTGACCATTAGGTGATCAGCCTTTGCCTGATTGGGCCTAATTCTTCACGATGTTTTTCGTCATACGAGCTAGTGTTAATATCAAAAATTCAATTGCTGTACAGGAACTAAATTGCGTCCAAATTCCTTCTACTACCTGAGGTATGAAAGTCGCACGCGCATGCTACTAGCTCAATACTGCTCTGTATATATTTATGAAAATTTTCAGGTGGGGACATTAATAGTATAGAGTTACCACATCACGCTGAAGATAAGACTGAAGAAATTGTAAGTGATTATGATTTTATATTAATACCCAATAGATTTATAGTATTTACAATACTCTTAACCGACATAGTAATAAAAATAATAATTTATTGATAAATAGAAAATTAAAACAAATTTAAAAAATTTAGTCCCTGAGCTAGCAGCCTGTGGTAGACCTTTAATGCTCGCATTTCCTCGCTCTATTATGATTATTCGTCGAGGGAAGCACCAGCTCTGGGGTCACTTACCAAGTGCTTAAATCTTTAGCGCCCACTTGAACCCCACGGCTCAAAAGTCTCAACTCCAAAGGGAACTTGCCCACAGATGGAGCACATTGCGGTGTTGGACGAAGTGCTGAGAATGTTGTTGGAAATTGTCAATTCGTGTCTAACACATCAGCTCTGCAATAATTTAAATTTGGTCTACGCGCTGTTGCATAAAAAGCAGCTGTTTCAGCAGCACTCGCATCATAACATCGCACAGAACATCGAAATGGTGAGTAGTCATTTGTCAACTGTCAAAGTCATGTGTGAACTATCAGTCATATGTCAATTATCAAGATCATATCTCCGCAAACAAAGATTTACTTTACCTAATGTTAAAACTACAACTATAGTCTATAGAGCTTCAACTGAACAATGAAAACCTTAATATAGTTGATTCTACGGTATTTCTGGGTATTGCCAAAACCCTCAATGGATTCAGCATATTACTAAACTTTCTGACAAGCTCAGTTCTGCGGTATGCCGCTATTTGGAAAATCAGGAAAATTAACTCACAGACGAGGAAACTGCCAGAATAGTATATTTTAGTTATTTTCTCAGCGTTATGTCGTATGGAATTCTTTTATGGGACAAACAGCATATATACATTCAATTTTTACCTTGCAAAAACGTAATAGGTCAAATTATTGCTTGAAACCAGGCACTTCACTTAGAAATTTGTTCAAGGAAATCGATATTTTGACGGTACCTTCCCAATATATCTACAACTGTATCGTTTTTGTGCGTAGTAATATTAGTTATCTTAAAGAACAGTGACATTCACAATAGGGATACGAGAAATAAGGGAAAACTTTTCCAGCCCTCTTACAGGTTGCAGAAAATAAATACTTCATTTATGGGCCTAAGTATACGCTGCTATAACATGATTCCTAGTGAAATATTAGAACTGCCTTTAAACAGATTTAAAACACATATTAAAAAAACATTAATGCGTAAAGGTACACAGTTAATATAGAAGGCAAAAACGCGTGACAATAGTTCTAGTTATATTGTTATAATTTGTTTTGTTATCTTTGAAGTGTTGTGAATATATGTGTAATGGTGAATGTTGTAAATCACAGAACAGATTTTTTTTAAATTATGTAACTTTAATGACGTTGTGGTTTATGACATTTTCCTTTGAATAATTGTAATAAAGAGGAAGGGTAAAACTTAGAGTTTCTTGCCCGTTCTTCTCAAAACCCTTGTTTTAAAATTATTTTTGCGAACGGATAACGTAGTCTTGCTCTTTCGCGAATTTTGTAAACGTTTTTGACATCCATAAGCATGCCCTAAGACGCATCTTAACTGAATAAACGTATTTTGAGTGATTGATTAAGATTAGACAGGTGGAGACACAATTTTTAAGCATGCTCCAAAGTGTGCAGATTATTTTCAATAACACTGTCATATTGTATTTTTTTTAAATCAGGTAATAGGTTATTTCTCAACCCGCCTCCAACGGGTACAAGAAGGAGCTGGCGGTGAGTTGGGAGTGACAGAAGTATTGCAATGCATCAAAAAGGGTGCGGAGCAGTGGTCAAGTGACAGATTAAAGGTATGCTTCTCTTTTTATCTCAACGTAAACATAATTTGAAAAGAAGAGATAAAAATGTTGTTACTAACTTAATTATTAAAGCAGTGGTGGCCTAGTGAGTTTACACCCGCTTTTGAAGGAAAACATCGTAATACATTAGACCCAATCAGGCAAAGGCTGATCACCTACTTGCCTCATGAAACAGATACATAGGACCCAGACCTAAAAGATTGTAGCGAGAACATCGTAACACCGGCATTATATTTATATTAACGGATTGGTGAAGAGACTTAGTTCTGCAGCTTATGCGGTTAAATAGATTCGCTCTCTAACTGATGTCGAAACAGCTAGACTTGTTTATTTTAGTTACTTCCACAGCTTAATGACTTATGGCTTATTATTATGGGGTCATGCTGCTGATGTCGAAACTATTTTCATCTTGCAGAGGGCTATTCGTGCAATCTATAATTTAAAATGTAGGGAATCTCTGAGAGATAAATTCAAGGAAATTAATATACTTACCTTTCCCTGGAAATATATTTATGAAAATATTATGTATGTATACAAAAATAATGATAAGTTTACTAGAATAGAACATACGCATAATGTTAATACTCGGAACAAACGCAGGCTGCAATTTCGCCGTACACTATCTTAATCCCGAAGTCTCTTTTATCTTTACTTTTTAATAAATTAAAGAAAAGCTGTGTAAAAAGGCCTATAGGTCAGGAGATAGTGACACAAAATAGTGGATCATTTTTCTTTTTTTCATTTCGTAATAAGACCCCTGAAGAATCGCCATACTGGTACAAATGAACCACTATTTTGTGTCACTATCTCCCAGCTTATTACTATAAAGTTAACGATTATCTAGTTGATAAAAGGGCCTGGGTCTAGTGCTAGACAGGCTACTTCTAATTAACTTGCGATATTTGTTTTAAAATAAATGTTGTTTGATGATTTGCTATTTTAAAAGAGTACCGAGAGTTTTTCCGCCGAATTTTTCTTTCGGCCTACAGTCTTCTTTGCCGATGAGTAGGGATGTCTGTCTACCTCTTCAAATTTAATGACGTGGAATAAGTGATACCTGTATAAAACTAATACAAAATATTCCTTACAGAAATTTCCTGACCTAAAGTTCCGTTATGTTGAAGAAGACAAGCCTGAAGAGTTCTTCAGCCCGTATGTGTGGTCACTTATAAGTTCTTGTGGGAATATCTATTGGGCAAGTGAATGTGCAGCACGGGCCTCTGATAGATTGTTGGCCTGATTTTGCATTAAAACATATCAGTTATTAACATTGATAAATGATTAACATTTAATGATGAAGTAATAAAAAACAAAAACACTGATGTTTCTTAATCAGAGTTTAAAATTTTTACTAAAATAATAGATTTTTGGTTCATATTTAATATAAAAATCAATGTAAATCATAGGTTGTTCATAAATTATTCATTACATGACAAAATCATTAACTATTCAATAATATTGTAATAATAATTTATAATATTGTGGTACTGATTAAATATAATTGTTCAGTAATACATAATTAATTGTTCTTTTATTATATATAACAATTTGTAGTGCAATGAAAAAGTCTTAATAGGTTAATAATATATAATGTGTTATTACAAGTCATATTGAATAGTAATAATGTGCATGATTGATTGGTAGACATTATTAATATAACTGATCATAAATTGATAACAATATTGTATTGTACTATGTCGGACCAAAATGCATATTTATAAAATTAATCCCGTCATTTTTTGCGATATCAAAATAATACTTTATAATAATTAAAATTGCCTACTACAATGTATAATAAACTTAAATTTACCATTTATTTAAGGGATTGTATTATTTAGATGTTAATTCTAAATTTACTGCATAATCAGAGGATTTTAGAAATGACATATATATACCATCCCTTAAGTAATGTGATTCTATTATAGTTATCAACTGTGACTATGCAAGTGTGTCAAAGTGTAATTTAAACATCAAACATTGTAAATATATTGTATTTTATTATAGTGTTTATTAAATATAACAAATTAGAATTAACAAGTTTCTTTAAGTAGTCACAACTAGAAAATAAATATAAATTTAATCTCCGGAATGTCATGAGGGTAATAATTAACAGCTTGACAGCATTCCATATATTTGGTATAAACTATTTATGGTGTACCTATGCACTTCTTTGACTTCAAAAAAGAAATGAGTTTGGCATTTATCTTGAATATTTGTTGTGAGATGACCCTTAGGGTTAAACTGGTGTATATTATTTAGGAAAGTTTACTTTGATCAAAATCGGTAAATATTTTTTAAATAATAGTAATTTCTGGAGAATATACATAATAAATTATTTTACTTTAAATATACATTAAAAGTACAAAGTTGTTTTATTTTTGATACGTTAAAGGTTTTCATTAATAATTTAGGTTTGATAAAGCTAGAGTAATAGCTTTGAAACAATCAACATTGCACATTTTGGAACGCTGACGCCGAATGAGGATTACATTTCGTTTGGAAGTTAATACAAACTATAGTTTTAAGAACTTTAAGCAAACAAATTTACACAAAATCTAAGCTATGTTTTTAAATAATAAAGCCCGAAATGTAAACTATAAATTACAGTTTTTATTGGAAAATTCTAATGTTGTGTTTACTTTATATTTCAGTTTATTTATGTTTTAAACCTTCCCTGAACTTTTACAAATATTATAGTTAAGATCATATTATCCCAATCGGTTCAGCCACTCTCGGGTTCTAGCGAGACAAATCACAAAAGAACAGTAATTAATTTTTATTTATACATTACTAGCAGACCGGCCAAGCGTTGCTGTGGCTATGGTTTTTGTTTTATTACATAGTAGTAAACTATTCAAGGGAAATGGTAGGAGAAAACCGGTGATGGGGACGGTGGGACCACCATGCTTTTTTGGTAGTTATGTCATTAAATTGTAGCTTATATGAAACGTTGGTACTTTCAACACAGCGCCATCTGTTAGAATTGTGAATATCAAATAACAAACAAATATTTTGAAATAAAGTAATATTGTGGGTATACATTGAGATGTAAGCTATCCTATCTTTTAAGTTAGATCAAACTGCACACGGTGTGCAAATTTGATTGAAATCGGTTCGGTAGTTAGGCGTCCATAGCGGACAAACAACGTGACACGTAATTAATATATATTAATAAGATAAGATAGATCGATTGGATTTCAAAGGTTCTCTGTGTTTGTAATATCTATTGCAGTTTTGTCTCTGGAAGTATTTTTGCTTGATATTAGACATCTGTGATCTGTGTGATGAGTGTTGACATGCCAGCCGCCAGGTCATAAAATCCTTAAAAAAAAAAAAAGAGTGTTGACAGCCCGAATTAAAAAAGAGTCGACGAAATACAATAAATCAATGGAGTTCGAAATTGAATAATTCATGTGCAGTCTTTGTTTTGTAAATAGTGAACTAAATTAATTGTCTTCATAAGAATAGTGTTAAATTAAACGTTTTTGATCAGTTTCTTACCTGAAGACCGAGTTATTGTGGTATGTCACATTTTTACACTATTATCATATCCTTTTTGTTTGCTTTCTGTAGTGCGTATTTTATTATTTTTATCAACCGTTACATGTTTATATTTCGCGATTGTATTGTTTTCAGCAATTTTCTTTAGTTTTAGTCATTGACACAACACTTGAAATTATTTTTTATTGATTACTCTCAAGTTTTGCTCTTCATAAATTTATAATTTAAACCATTACTTTTAGATATATTAATAACAATTGAAAATTTCGTATAAAACTGAAAACTATAATTATTATAAAACTTTTCGTTTGGCATTCTTAGCAGTATACTGAGCAAGGAAATTACTAGAGTTAAACCTTAGTAAATCTAAGATTTGACAGTGACCCAATTACTAAGGATTGAAACATTTTTATCATATATAAACCTAGGTTTTTATTACACAATAATGGGGTTTTTTAAATAAAATGTAGGCCTTGGAATACCAATTATAACAAAGCTTATACTTTGTATAAATTTAACAGATAACTATGGTTTAAATTGATTACTCTTTGTTTTATATTGTATTCTTCTTTATTATATTTATTGAAAATCTTAATAATTTTAATACCTGATCTTACTATTTTTGATAACTATGTATTAAAATGAAATTTCTTAATTGCACCTAAAGATTAAATGCTTTAGACATTATATTTCAATGTGTAGTATTTGCTCGATGTAAGAAATCACATTTTTGAGTAACATTGTATTTATCTTGTTGTGAAAAGAACCATCAATTAATGATTATAGTTTCCATCTACATTATGTAGATGTTCCAATTATTTTTTTATTGCATAATATTGTTAATGGTATCATTATCCTGGCAATATGCTTCCTTAATAACCCTTATTAATTTTGAATATACAACCTCAAGGTTGATATTTACTGAAGCCAAAGGCAATAGGCAAATTTGATGGAACAAAGCTTTTTCTCCAACCCAAAGGGAGAACCTTGATCATTCCTAGTACTGGCAGGCTGGACGGAAGCTCTCAGTGGTGTAAGAAATATATTACTATTTAGAAACACTACAATCACAGCGGCAGAATGTAGATGTTGCTACATGGTCTAGTCATTACTAGGCAGCTAGTAAGATGGTTGTTCTATCATTTAATATGTTAGAAATACTTATAAAACAAAATCTGAACTGTACATAAAAATAATCTAAGGTTAATTTAATAAATTGATACTCGTAGGGTAGGTCCATTCTAATTCCTATTTCAAGTTACAATCTCATATTGTCAAACGTCATATAGATAAAATGTTTTATCAGCTGCTGTAACATTTTAAAGTTTAACCGGACTTAGCTAATTAATACTTTATTGGAATATAATAAACTGGAAAGATACTCAAACTCAAAGTGTCAAAGAAAGTGTCCAGTGCTCTGTGTCCTCGACCGTAAGATGGAAATATATTTTAAATTAATTTAAAAAATTGTACATAAATAATAATAATCCAATACTAAATGTATTCAAAAATGTTGGCTTAAAAATTCTGAAAAACAGATTTTCAAGAATTCTCTTTAAATAAGGGGCCTGTGCCTAGCACAAGCTCAGCACTGCGTTTGAATCTTTGTACCAATGGACTTTTCTTAATACTTGTATAGTGAAGGAAAATGCGAGGAATCCATTGACCCACATGTGTTAGAAGGCTGATCACCTACTATATTGATTACTCAGATACTGAAGTCTGAAGTTCAACTGGTTTATGTGAACAATTAACGACTCGTAGCGACTATTCATTTAGGATATTATAGAAACCGTTGATTTAGTTCCATTCTTATTGGTATTCACCATTTCGTCTTGTAAAACGTCAAACATATAAAATGACAGCTGCTGAAACGATTTAAGGTTGAAGTTATTAATTAATAAAATAAAAAGCTTTTAATGCTGTTTCCCCCCAAATTTAGGGATTCAAGATGTCTTGGGGGGTTTATGGGAGGTATATTTATTTAGGGGGTACTTTATTCAGGAAAATTTTGACAATATGATAAAGTAGAGGGTCTAATGTGGCTTCGAACTGCTAGAGAACGCCAAGATTGGAAAAACTTAGCAGAAACCTTTGTCGAAGGACAAGCTGTAAATAATCGTTTGCAATTAAATATATAGATAGATAATATATAGATATTATGGACTATATGTTGTTACAGCATACAAGTTAAACCAGTGATGCCAACTCCTGCAGAATCTTCCCCCTAGAACCATTATCAAATACCTCTAAGTATTGGTTAAAAACCTCTAAACTTTTTGATGTAACACTTGGTTTGAGAGGTAATTTCAAATATGAATCAATAATACATTCAAAATACAAAATAGTATAAAATTTCGTTTCTTTGATATTTTAGTTATAGCAACGCTTGAAGTATTTGGTTTAGTTTGTTGGTTGTACCCAAAACATATTGACTCCCCTAAGTTTGGCGGGAAAATCCCCAAGTTTGCACTTATTCTAATTAGTATTCACAGTGTTGTCAAACGTCAATCATGTGTTTTGACAGTTGAAGTTAAAGTTTGACATTCTAGAACAGTTAAGTTGTCGACAGATATTGTCCTAATTCAATTGGAAAGCGTTTTGCATGTCCATATATATCGCGTTATACTATGAATATTAATTATTTTATAGATTTTATAGACCTGTCTTTGTTCGTGAATATTTTTATATATTAATTAATAATTTTCTTATCTTTACATATGTATAATATATATGTTA